GCTGAATGTTTGAAGACGCGGTAGTTCATAATTACATTTGATACTTGTGAATTATCCAAGCTCGATCATATTGGTTTAATACACGTTTAAATGAAACTAATATTTTTCAGATTTTTGATTATAAACTACATACTCCCGACGTTCCGGTTACTTTACAGCAACCGTGATCACGGACAGACGAGATGTGAGTGTCTGGCAGTTGGTCTTATTTAATACACGTTTTATAAATATATGAGCTCAATTTTGATTAATTAACATCACCATATACTCTAATTATTATCAGGGTTGTCAATTAGAAAAAAAGTATGGTAAATGTGGCAGTTTTATATATGTATTGGTACATATATGTGTATATAAGTATGAAGATAAAAATAAATAACAAAAATAAAGTAGTCGAGTGTTTGGTGTTGTAGATAACACGCTGCTACTTATCTATAAGAACAGCCAAACTAAACATGTGGTCCAGTGGTGGGTGGGGTCCAATTGATCGGGTTCATCGACCTCTCCCCCCATCATTTAAATTTGCGGCACATTTCAAAGGAGGTAATTGGATAATAATGCAGGCGCCACCCTTCAAGATGGACCAGATATCTGGACATACTGACTTATATTATATGTGTATAAATATATACATATAGTCGATATTAAATAACTTTACAGTGATTACTTCTTGATATATGTGTGTGTTGTACTAATAAAGTATAAGTATAATATATATTTAGTTGGGGAACATATACATAGAACAGTATTATGACAACAAAATCTCTTATATACTACTTATACTATATTTTACTACACTAATAATTATTCGGTGTTTCTGTAACTTCAAAACGTTGATTAAATTCATTGTTTATAAAGACTGAATTGACAAAATCGTTTTAGTTATCATATGTTGTTACAGAGCACTAGTTTTCTTCACGTGAACACAACTATGGTAAAAATAACAAAATTGAGTACATTATTTAAGTTACAATTTCTTTATATATTTCAATCACTTATGCTGTTCAAGAGCAGTTGAAAATAGTTTGAGTGTACCAGTGGTTCAGAATGAGTTCTGCTTACAAGATAAAAATCTCGCTAGTGACTTAAGAACTGTTTATAAATTAATTTGTATTAATTTAAATCTCGTCTGCCTTTATTCACGGTCGCTGCAAAGTAACTGAAACGTCCTGAGTATGTATTTTTAAAATAATAATGCCTAGTAGTCCGAAAATATTAGTTTTATTTATGTGTATGTAAGTCTGATTGTATAGAAATTAAGTGACTTAAAATGAGATTTAATACCAGGCACCAAGATAGGTTTAAACGATAAGCATTTCAATGATTAAAAGAATCTCAAAGACTATTAAGAATTCTGCATCCATTCTCGCTAATATAAATATGTTCTCGTCAATACTGTCCGTCTAGATGTTATTATAATTAAGATTTAGTATACATTCTTCGAGACAGGCAAATTGTATTTGTAAGTTGTATGTGACATTTAGATTTTTATTACAATTTATTTCCAATTTTAGTTTCGTGTGAATCTCTGTCCGTCATCATGAGGCTGTATATAAACGTATATGTATATGATAGTTCCTACACACCAGGCCTCCGAGGGTGTCCCGAGCTGCTGTGTGTCAGCGACGGTGGTGAGCGGCGTGTCTGATGGCAGGACGCATGCGCCCCGCTAACAATGTTAGATGGGCAACGGGAGGAATGAAATTCTATTACGCGTTTTATACGGAACACCCCGAGGGGGACCGGCCGGTGTAGCTAGAGCCGTGCCATTTCACACATCCCCCTCCCTCGGGCCGCGGGTATAACGAGCGCGGGGGCCCGGGGAGGTCCGGGAGGGTCCCGGGGCCCATTGAAATGGTTGTAAAACATTGAAATCTGCGTAACGGCGGGCCTCCTCCGCTGGTCGATTCGATACGCGCAGTTTATTTTAAATTATAACGCTTCTGGGGGCGGTTTTTAATCTGTGACGTGTTTGAACAGTTGCGACGCGCCGCCCGGCTCCTTCTCATATATTAATGCATCATCGGTGCCGTATTTATTAAATATTGATAACTATCGCAGCACTACAATACACTGATCTGGACATAGATGTAAGATTTAACGAAATTATTGTCAGACACTGGCGACCATCATTCAAAAAGTCAAGTAAATTTTATCCTGATTTACCAAAGTGATATATAACTTATATAATATCAGGAAGTAATGTAAAAACAAAGGAATGTATTTCCAACAAAAACGTAAGATATAAAAGACGTTTACACAGTCCTCGAAACAGGTAAGATCCTAAGAGCATGACCCACAAAACCATTAGCTAACACGAACCCACCTACATACTATATAATACATACAAATAACACGTTATATATGTTTATATGTTAGAATTATCTTTGCTCTTTTATAAAAGAAATTGTCTGTGCCTATTGTAATATACATACAATATTGAGTTTTTGTAAAGACAAATTTTCTCTCGATAATTCGTGTACGTCGAATTCAAATCTTTTTTAAACCGAGTCTACCTGATCCCAAGTAAACATGAAGTAACGTCTATATGTGAAAAAACTTAAATAATTATTTTTGAATTACATTGAAAGTTTGTCTTATACTAAGAATATTTTGATATGATAAATGATATATTATTATACCTGTTAAACATCACCCGACCCTTACCTTACTTAATACTTAACCTCGGCATCCATCTAGCTATACACATCATAATTATAAATAGATTTTGTTATACCAAAAAATTATTATTTCTGTTGCTAGTAAAAAATATATATTAATTATAATGTTTTAAGAATTTTAAAATTTATTTAATGATAACGAAGCGGACACGATACGACTAGTCGTTACGTATAAAGAACTTCATTAATAATAATTCAACATGTGTACATTAAATTTTAATTAGTAAAAGCCATATTAAAACGTATAGAGGGTTTGTGTAACATATCATAATGATGGATCACAGCCGCGCCTCGCAGACCGATATGACAAAAATCCACATAAATCTCAAAGAAATACCGACCCAATGACCAGAAAGAATGTACGGCTGTAAAAACTGTGAAGCTATTGTCATTATACTTTACGCGTTTATGACTCTTAATATTTACAACATAAGGGCGATATTACCTTCGAGTAATAGAACTACATACATACCTCAGCTCACTAAAAACACTGAATTATCTCAAAGAGCATTGCGTGCTATTAAATAATATAACAATAGTACGTAAGTTTGAAACCTGTGCTGCGTTAAATTAAAATATCTACCGTCCAGGTGTATTCCCAGTAGTGACGTCATTACGGAGCCAGTCCTCTAAACAGTACGTACGCGGTACGGTCAGTTAAAAGCTGATATTACTCTTCGTTACATCCTAATGACTCCCAAAAGCTGTGTTCATTAAATTTATAACGTATTTTTGCTGTTGCTTAATAATTATATTGAAGTGAAATAAAAATATATATAATTATTGGGTCTGCAAAACTTTTTCATATTATCGTGTATTCTATTGAAAGATTAGAAGTATATGATAGCAAAATAGTTTTATATAAACCTATTTATATTATATAACAGTAATATTCAACAACTCCTGAATCTATTTCTTTTTATGTTTCATGTTAAATTTTTGTATATAGTAACTCATTGTTATCACAAAAACACTGATGGTGTTCTATTATATACTAACAAAGATTGAACAATTACTCATGTATGATTGAACAATTACTCATGTATTAACAAAAAATATAATATATGTACATATGAATAATGCGTGTTATAAATGAATTATTACAATACAATTTATTATAAGAACTAGACTCATAGTGTTTAATTATTTAATTTAAATATATATAAACGTAAATAATATATTATTTTTATCATGTCCAAATATTTATATTTCCAATTTAGATTCGCAATCGCCCCTATCCTGGCCTACACGTTCACTTCAACGGTTCGTCTTCACCTGGCATTGATAAGTCATACGGGTTCGATTCCCGGTACAGATAACGTGGCGAATGTTTGTTCCGCTCTGTGTACTTTTAAAGGAAAAAAAATTAAGCAAGGAATAACTAAGAATTATTCTATACAAAACTACTATTACTATCGCGATGTTTAAGGCATTTTAAATAAATATATACATATATGTTATGTATATTTTAAGAGTTGTGATGGAACGACTACAACACACACAAACAGACTCAGAGCAACGTATACAATGACACCAGCTCTACACAAGGTCCCCTGCAATTTGATTATTTAAATCATTAAACAGGCAGGGGTGGCTCAGCGGCTCTCGGGGCGTCGTAGGGTTAATAAAAACTGTATGACACAAATAAAATATGACTAATATCGATCAGACGTCAGTATTATATGTGTAGGATAGGTGTTCTGTGGCACAGCCCTGAGTCAGGATATCGACCGATCACCATCAGCTTATTATCACTTGGATGTAGACCCGGCGCCCGGCGAAGGTTGAGCCCTCGTTTTACAGAGCCATTCCTTTCTATGACCTCGTTTTATGGCGGCCGGGGAGGGTGGCTGGCTCGTTTTATGGTAGTTCGGAACGCCTATCTACATATGATAAGCCATCCCTCACGAACTCGTTCTCGTATTGTCTGTGCCTACATTCGTTTCTGTCTGGATGGGGATATTTGTCGGTAAATATTTTCAGAGACGATGATTATAGATAAAGATGATTTAAAACTATATGATGATAATTTTTATTTATATGTTAAAGCAAAAAGGGAGACCAATTAAGAGTTATGTGTAACTAGCTTTCCGCCCGCAGCTTCGCCGCGTGGAGTTCGGTTATATCGCGTTTCCAAGAGAACCTTTCAAAAGTCTGGGATAAAAACTATCCTATGTTCTTTCTCAAGGTCAACTCTATCTCTGTACCGAATTTCATTAAAATCAGTTCAGTGGTTTAGGCGTGAAAGCGTAGCAGACAGACAGACAGACAGACAGACAGACAGAGTTACTTTCGCATTTATAATATTAGTAGGGATATATGCGGAACCCAAAGCCAAACGACCCTCCAGCACAAATCGCTGGAGTAATTCCGTCCAAGGACTCCGAGCTCGAGGGAGTTGTAACGGAAGATCGATATCAAGAGATGATGGCTCCCCCACCACCAGCTCGGCCAGACCCCAGCCGTTCATGTATATGCTCCGATATCCATAAACTTTGAAGATCCGCACGGCTCCTCTTATAATGGTCTGTGAGAACTTTCCGTTTACGACAGATCGTGACACATCTGTTACTTTACATTTTAGTACGTAATTTTGTGAACAGCAATCGTTACAGCATAAAGTAATACCGACTGTATTGCTCATAAAATATATATATATTTCTTAGCATTTTCAATCTTATTTCTTTAAACTAGTATAGAATATATCAAAGAGGTTTTAATTAAATTGTTTGTGAAGGAATTACGCAGTATTGTGTTGAAGCGTCTGTGATCTATTGGAGATGTCAACACTTGCGAGTAAGAACAACATGACAGCTATAGCGACGCAAGCCGCACTCATAAAGCCGTGTGGTGAACTACAACTGAACAGTGAACACTAATTAACATTATTTTAAATGAATTTTGATACCACAAAAAGTGAATACTTTGTTGAAATAATACATAAACTACTCTCTGGTTCCGCATTACCGATATCTATTATGAATTTTATGTTATTAATATTTTTTTATATAAAATAAACGTACAAATCGTCTGCGTGTATAAAAAGTAATTATGTATTTATGCGTCGTCATGATGGGATCAGATGGCCGAGAACAATCCCGGGTTCAATTTAAATACGATTATAATAAATCGATTTCTATCATAAGTTATAAATCAATTTCGATTATTACGTAATATTAATGTTATTTTTATATTTCAATATGAATTAACCCAGCTCATCAGTGGGGAGGTTTCAGTGTGTAAATATATTCATCAAAGACAAAAGCACAAATTTAAATATTGGATATGTTAATGCAATTGTTTTTGTTTTCAGAGCGGGTTTTAAATTAACATTGATCTGTAACGCTCGGTACGAGTTTTTATGTTTTAACTAATGCGGAAAGTATGAACGTGATGCGTATATGCTTACTAAGGCACAAGTCTAGTAGAAGGATTTTCAGACTTAGATTGAATTTTTTGAGCATGACTCATGTGTTTTATGTGAATTTAAAAGCTTTATTTAGTTTTATATGAAAGTTACGATATCTAATCAAAGATTATAGTATCGGGATGCGATCTATCGTCTCCCAGGTGTAGAGTAATACTGTTTCTTATGTGAGGGATGTAGGTGTCATTATCCCGTGCACATATTCCTGTATCCCGTCGTAACTCGCGTGGACCATTGTTTCTATATTCATTAGTTTCCTCCGCCGGACCCCCCGGGGTTGACGTGTGTACAAATCGTTGATGGAATCTTGAAGTTGATCGATAATTAAAATGTTATTCAACATTTTTCTAAGATTAATAATCTTTCGTAAATTATTTCAATGATCGCATTGAATAGAATTATCATTTGATTCTGGTGTTTCGGTCCCCTTGTCTGCGGGATATGTGTATCCACAATATAATGTATCGAGGAGCAAGTTGTAAGGAAACCTTCATTCAGACAGAGATGCACATGTCGCTCGGGTTTGTTCAGCAGGTAGAGATATAAAAAAACGAGTAAACCCGCTCTCGCAATGGGGTATTATAATGAGCACAACAAAATCACACCCTAATGCTACATAATAAGGTCCATTTCTATTCGCCTGTAATCTAACCCCCGCGTGGTAGGGTCCTAACGGCGGGCGAGATTTTTTTTGCCATTTATTTTTCTAGTCTCAGTTAATTAGTATTTTTTCGTTCCGATGGAAACAGATAAGCCGGCTCGGAAGACACGAGCGCACGCAACGGACAATGCACGATGCTAATGTGAAAATCGATTACGTTTTGACTATTGTAGTCACGATTCCCCATACAGTCGTTTACTGTTAATTGTCAGTGAAATTGCACGTTCACGTGAACATGCTGCTTACAATATGTGTATTATATATCGTTACAAGTGTAACTTAAGTAACGACAGCCAGCAGAGGGTAACATTAAACCGGCGTGTACAAGGTGTGGATGTGGCCAAGATCGTCAGAGCGCGCCGATTGCCAAATCGCCGGTGTACATATTGGCAACAGTGTGGCTGGACGTGCCAAGTTTGTACTGAATCTTGGACGGGGGGCGTCCGCCAGGTGCCAAGACGTCATCCGTTTAAGGTTTCTGACCGAATGCGGCAAATGTTGGGGAGGAAATTGGCGACAACGCCTCGTATCGAGCACTGACGCCGACATGTTCAACTCGTATACAACACTCGGGTTTCCGAAACATCCGACCAATTACGTTCGTGTTTTCTATATTTATATTCGGAGCCATCGTGTAGTCGACGTCACAATAGCAGATGTCGTTAAGCATTTTTTAATGTGAAACTTAATCCAGGCCTGGAGGTCCGCGGAGGCCGGAGAGCGGTGTTGAATGTCTGCCGTTGTTTGTACACGGCCTTGTTCGGGAACGGGCTCGCTGTTCCTCACCAACACAATATAACACAGCAATTCAAACTTATATTTTTACGAGCCGGCAGCGTTATTCTGTGTCGTTCTTTAAATTAATTCTAGTTTAACACAAACCGTGAATAAACGATCGATGAACCGGAACCATTTATAATCTGTTGGGAGACCATTTGTCTTCTCGGGGAGGCGAGCTGAGGCGGACTCGGCCGGTCGTTTGCTACATTTTAATTGATGCCTCACATATTGTCCATTATAACTTTTAAACCGATCAAACAACATTCTCGACCCATTGTTACCGTATGTTTAATGTTCGTTATTAAGGAGTCGTCATCCTCAACATGTGAATGCCGGTGATTATGTTTTAGTTATCCGCGGCGTCGGTTATTAGCGCGGTATGATGGCGCGGCGCGGGTGAGGCCAATTTATTTAATATTGATACAAGTTATTGCACCAAATTACACATGATTGTAGGAGGAGCCCGCCTTATTTATAGTTCGTTCTGATCGACCTTTCGCGACGGTTTATATACAGATATCAAACTAATAAAGTTTTGTTCGATGATAATAGATTTAAGGTGTTATAGAATCAAATTTCGTCTTCTCAAGCAGCCTCACGATGCGTCATACAAACCGCTTCCTATCCGTTCTGTTCCGTATACCATCTTAATGATACCACTGACCCCTCACATTGTTCGAGTCTCCACCGAGCTCCTACACCGCCTATCGTTTAATACCATCTATATTTATTTGACATGCTTAAATTATCGCTGTATCTGGGTCTGCTATGGCCGTTCGTTGATAGCGAGCAGCGACGCTTGCACAAGATGTTCAACTCTTGGTATCTAGACCTGGATATTTGGTTGGTTAACCCCGATACTGTGAAAGGCCATCGATAATACTTGACAACTATGTTACGACGGATAACAAATATAGTTTATATATGAGATATACAAGATATGGTGTTAGCTACGATTAGGAATATATACATAAAGTAACTATGAACAAGACAATATCAAATGTATGTCGCGTGTATTACTTGATCATCCAAATTAATAAAATGCATTGAATTAAAACGTGATTTGTTTAAAACAGTTGCAGATTCATATAGTATGTTGTATGTGTTGCATATTCTTATATGTAGTATATGTGTAATAAAGTTCCTGCATCGACCCACATTGATTTGCTTTGTCTTAAATATTGCGATGATAATGATTTTTATTGTGCCTTCATTTCATTGCTTAATCATGACTAATAATTTATAAAATCATTAAATTTTTCACGATACTTGTATAAAAATCAATAATCTAAATGTACTGTGATCAACTTAACACATGTGTCAGTTTTGATCTAATCTAATACAGTTAACAACACAAGTACACAACACATACCCTCGGAAATTATAGATAGGGTTGCGATATAAAACTTGTAATTTAATAATAATATTATGCTTATATTTAATAAAAACATAGATTATATCAAAATATTAGACTTCAAATATATAATCTGTGCTGTATATGTATATATAGTCTGTGCTTACAAGCTGTCAGTCAGTGTAAGGTGGTAGGTATAGCCGGCAGACGCAATGCGTCGTTGTCACTTCACCGATTCGTTGAATGATTGCACGCAATAAATTCGCGTAATCCAACCGTCACACTAACGAGCATTTTGTTTTCAAAACCGGACAAAAGTAACAATTACAAATTTCTGCGAATATCGCCTAAGTTGGCGTTTTATGGCAACTGAATAATGGTACTGTCATAAACCAGTCTTATCTCGGACCAATTCCCTCCGCGCTTCCCGGTAAGTTAATCGGAATCTAGTCGCTGTGTAGTACACTCGTCTATTTGTTCGATACGTTCTATTGTTCCCGAATTTGCACGTGGTGTTAAAGGTGGTTTGCAGTAGATTGTGGAAAGTTTTAGCTATGGAATCTGAAGCTCAAGGTATGTACTTAATATAAATGAATATTATCTTTGAAACCATTGACTTTTATGTACTTTAGAACGATAATAATCATAAGAGAAAAGTAATTAATATTGTGTATGTTTTTTTTTTACTAATTAGTACTTTTGTAATAGTACCGGGTTAGATCGGGTAATCATTACTATTTTGTAGTAAAATATAGAGTTTCACCATGCTAGAACACTAAAAACTTTTTCCACATCTTTCCACCACTTAAAATAAATGTACTTTTAAAATAATATTAAGGGTTTTTTTATTGTTTAGCTAATTTACAATGTCGTCGTTTCTTTGCAGATTCGACATCAAATGTCATTCAGACGTCTCGGAAATCATTGTATATGATTTTTAAAGAGAGTCCTGCTAAAAACTTAGATGATAAAGTATCATTTATGGAAAATAAGCTTCGAGAAATGATGAAATGTCCCCGGAACGAGTTTCAAACCTTAGGTCACGATTTAAGACATTTTAAATCAGATTTAAAAAAGAGATGGGTATCGTGCAATTATATTGAAGACAGATTTATGAAAAAGAACGAAAGATGGCTTAGTAATTCAATACCAGTACATACATGGAAGCAAAACACCAAGCCAGGGCGCCCAAGCAAGGACTTCCAAGAATTGACTGATCGCAGTAAAAGACGGAAAACAAAACAACTTCGTGAGGAGGTACCAGTTGAAGTGCTTACTTTTGCTGCTAGCGTCAGTCAAAATGTGTCAGGAAATGCTGCGGCTTCGAAACTTATAAAAGATGCAACATCTTCACCAACAAGAGCGAAGCGGTACAGAAAAGTAATAAATACTACTCTAGAACCAAAAATAAAAAAGTACACACCTGATGAAGCTTTGCGCATTTTTATCGAAGGTGGCTTTACAAGGAAACAATGGGAGTTACTGCACAAATCAACTAAAGGTATATTCCCTTGTTATACCCTTATTAGAGAAGCAAAGAAACTCTGCTATCCAAAACCAGAGGCAATTCAAGTAACGGAGACTTGTGTAGAAGTTGTGCTCCAAGACTTACTGGATCACACAGCTAAGAGACTTTGTCTTTATCTTGAAGATGTACTCCAAAACTGTACAACAAAAGAATTGAAAAATCTGGAGCTCATTTCAAAATGGGGTTGTGATGGCTCTCATCAAACTCCCTACCAACAAAAGTTTTTAGACAGCTCTCATGATGACTCTCATATATTTCAAAGTTCATTGGTACCCTTGAGATTACAGTCACATATCGGAAACAAAATGAAGACTTTATGGCAAAATCCGACACCATCATCTACTCGGTTTTGTCGGCCAATCCGGATTCGATTTCTCCACGAAACAGTAGATATAACAAATGATGAAATAAAATATGTAGAAGACCAAACCAAACAACTAGTAAGAACTGAAATAGAAAATCATTATAGAGGCACTTTCGTGCGACATACATTACTCCCGACCATGGTTGATGCAAAAATTTGCAACGCAGCTACTTCCACGTCATCCACTATGAGATGTTACATATGTGGCAAAACTTCCAAAGCTTTTAATGATCTCGAAAATTTAAATGCAGAGGATCCTCAATCATTAAGATTCGGATTGTCAATTCTTCATGCAAGAATTCGTTTCTTCGAAACGGTTTTGCACATAGCTTACAAGCTTCCTCTGCAAAAATGGCAAGCCCGAACTGCAAAAGAAAAGGCTGTGGTTAAAGAAACAAAAGAAAAAATTCAAAAGAATTATAGAGAAAAGACTGGCCTTATAATAGATATGCCAAAAGCTGGTTTCGGAAATTCCAATTCAGGCAACACGTCTAGAAGATTCTTCGCCGATCCTGATCTAGCTGCTGAAATCACTGGCATAAATAAAAAATTTATAATTAAACTAAAAGTGATTTTGGAAGCAATATCATCTGGCCACAAAATAAATGTAGATAAGTTTGGCGAGTTTTGTAAAGACACTGCAAAAATGTATGTCAAACTTTACGGTTGGCATCCAAATGACGCCAACTCTTCACAAAATATTAGTGCACGGCACAACTGTTATAAAACATGCCATCCTTCCCATTGGACAACTATCTGAAGAGGCCGCGGAAGCCCGTAATAAGCACTACCGCTCATACCGGCAAAATTATGCCCGAAAGTTTTCGAGAATAGTGTGTAATGAAGATATCCTCAACAGACTGCTGCTCACATCAGATCCATTTATAAGTTGTTTACGGAAACTTAACCCGAGCAAAAGCCAGCCTTTCATGAGAGAAACTATTGAGTTGATCGAGCCGGAAGAACTGGATTCAGAAGTAGACCAATTAACAAGTCTTGCTTACTCTGATGAATCAGACTAAGATTTATTAGAATACAATAATGTTGTAATTTTTTATAATTATTTTTAGTTTAGTCATTTTTATAAAAAAATATATGTTTTCTTTGATCAAATACGTATTTTTATTCATTTCCAATAAAATAAAAGTACTAAATAATTTTGACCGATTTTAAAGTAAAAATGCTCCTTAGTGCGTCACTCAATAACTATCATGATAAAATGTCCGATATGATATATCAACACACACACACATACACACACACACACACACACTAGAAACATTAGAAAAATACATACAACCGTATAATTTGAACCTAATGTATTGAATCCTCAAAAAATATATATTCGTGAATATATGTATATACAGGGTGACTGGTGAATTACTATCAATATTTAAGGAGCATACTCGGTACATGATTCTCATTCGAATTATGTAAAAAAAATAGGCACTTAATTTTTGACCAAATTTCCGTATAAATAAATAAAGTGTGTACACGTTCCAAGTGTTCCTAGTGTGGACGCGTGCGGCGGCGTGCTGATACAACAACACGCCGCCGCGCGCGTATGTGTGAGTGTGTAGTGTAGAGTAATCTGTAGGGTGTTCATACGATGCGTAATTAATTACACAACTTTTGGTTAACTTTACTTAAAAGTTTATTAATATTTATGTTATATTAATTTTTATTTCGTCATATATGATCGTCAAATATCACGTCCTCAAATATCGATAGTAATTCACCAGTCACCCTGTAGTCTAATGTAATATATTTTAATCCGTATCGTAGTGTCTGTGTTTATTTCAAGTACAATCCCTGTCTTAGTGAACAGAAGTTACAATACTGACAGGAGAGAGGCACGAACCGAGTCCCGACACTAAGCTGAATGATCCTGACCATGGCCAGTCAAAATACTTAGAATATACTATATTGACTTTATTATTTTAAATATTTTAACCCCCCCCCCCCCCCCCAGTATATTTAGTCGCGGTCGGCCATCTTTGCACGCGCAGCACAATAGGCCGGCAGTCAAACCGGCCGTATCATTATAATTGACAATAACAAATGATATTCATCTCCATCAGAGCTGTTCCGTCTTCAGCGATGGATCCAACGACCAACATCATGTTATTGTGACTTAATGAATCATCGACGCTAATATATTATTGTTTTTTATAAGTAATATATGTTCGTTTGTAGACTGACAGACTGAGTCTAGAAATAACACGGTCTTCCTGTGGCTAATTGGAGCTAATTGAGTCTCGCCTTTATTTAAGCCCGACCCGTGAGGTCGCGTTGGGTCAATTACTATACTTATACATATTAAGATTAAGACGTCTCAGAACCAGGAAAATGCAGCTTTGAAGACTATAACGTGTGGAGAATTTGATAGTTTATAACACCAAAAGGAATTCTTAGAAGGAATCAAATAGCCATTATAAGGAGAGTTCATTAAATTTGTTCTATAAAGTATGGAAACTTGATAAGCATTTCACGATAAAACGGTTCTGTCGCTAGAAATTTGCTTGCATTTCACAACAAGGGTGTTTGTATAAATTTTGATTACAAAGAAATTTCTTCATACATGCATGATTAATCGACCAACTAGCACCAATATCGGCCAATTCACACCAACGCGTGTATTTATGTACGACATTTAACACGAGGCCGTCGATCCGTCGTAGAGTAGACATGTTTGTATTTCTCACGACTAATTGATCCATCGATTCCTTCTAATATCCGTGTGTGAACATGTTTTTTAACCCGGTAACGCTCATCACCTCGACCTACATACATCGCGTGTTTAGTTCCCAGTAGTGTGTACGTTCTATAAAAAATCCTTCGATGTATATCGACCGTCAAAAACAATGCAATAATACAACGATTCAACATCAGAACCCGGTTCGCCTTCAACACGAAATAATGATCGATCTAAATAGCGTCTTATTACATTGAAATAGAGTCGTCTTTGTGTAGTGTATTGAGTTCGCCAACCGGCTCTAAAACGCGGAGGTGCTCGCCTTACAACGTGTCTTTGTAAATCTGACCGATGTTTGTTGATCCCTCTTCCCCCGCTGGTCGTAGGAGCGAGGCGGGTCTTGATATATTGGTCGGGCGACAGAAGCGCTCTCATGTAGTCTCTATGGGACTCTGTTATTGGACAGAGCATCATTCACATAAAGTTTGTATGTCCGCCGTTACTCAGTAATTCTTTGTTGCTATGTATCGCCACTGTATTGACAGATGTTGGAATTTTTTTTCCATTAATCTAAGCTGAGTGCTACTTCTTGTGTACAAAGAAACCACGTATCACGAGTATTGAAAGATATCGTTTGTATGACGTTAGTATATTAATAATAATCGCAAGCTACTAAGATATCAAATACTTTTAAAATCCTAAAATTAGTTTTAATCCTCCCTAAACCACAACTTCCTGTATTAATATCAATACTATACTTTGTAACATCACTTCCAAAAATTCAATAATGAATACTAACCAATACATAAACAAAAATACATTATAAACCACAGTTAAAAAAAATCAAGGTTACCAAAGATATAATGGAAGGCGTTTGAATAATTAGCGCAATAACATAGCGTTGAAGTTTAATAGTTTTATAATAACCACCAATCCGATATACAGGGTGACTGGTGAATTACTATCAATATTTAAGGAGAATACTCGGTACATGATTCTCATTCGAATTATGAAAAAAAAAATAGGCACTTAATTTTTGACCAAATTTCCGTATAAATAAATAAAGTGTGTACACGTTCCAAAAGTTTATTAATATTTATGTTATATTAATTTTTATTTTGTCATATATGATCGTCAAATATCACGTCCTCAAGTATCGATAGTAATTCACCAGTCACCCTGTATATCCGTATAGAACCGTATTCATTACGACCATTAAAAGTGTATTAGTTGATGCATTCATCTATGGGTGATGGTTGCATGATGCATCATAAGGATATGTTCCCATCTTCAGCCACGCTTGGTTATAAAACCTGATATACATTGAGAAAGCTTTGTTAATTATAGGTACATATGATAGATTCATTTTACACGTAAAAATTATTATCATTTCCGGACTTGGGACCACTTATTAAAAAAATAAATTATTATTTCACTATTTTCAATTAGAATTCAGTTTGGATGCTGTCAATATTAACGTTATCTTTGATCACAATTACACTATCCATATAATTATATATATTTTTATGGACATTCATCAAAGTTAATTATAGTATTTATTATACATATAACGCATCACGTATGTACATTCCCGCCTCCCTTTCCACAATCTCCCAACCATAAATTCTATACGTGCATCTTATAAGCCATGTTCCTGAGAAAATTTCTATAAACATAGATGTTAAAAAAATAATATGTAACAGAATGCACGGTTCCCGAGAACAACGTTGTACAAAAGGATATCAAAGATCACAGCACGTATGAATCACGAGCTATAAAACGTTTGAAACCTTCCCAGAACCGTTTCTATATCAAGTAATATTTATAATTTTTTAACATAAAACCACCATTAAAGATTAAAGATCAACCGACGGTATGTAATTGCTAGTTTTGTCAGTCATCAACTCCAGCGCTGTGGATATTAAGCTGAATGTACTTACGTATGAGCCATGAGGTCACCTACACTTACGTATAAAACAGCCAAAGAACTCGGTTCACTGTCACTAGTCTTTTATTGGACGATCCGTTTTAAAAGCTTACTTTCAAATGCTAATTTAACTGTGAGACTACTAAAGCATATTACTATTATTATTCCATGAATCGATGTTGCTTGTATTCACAGTAACCCTTCCAGAGTCTTAAATTTAAATCAATTTCTATGTAAAACCAACCGGTATTGATACATCAAACTATTCAATACGTATTATAATATTTGCATTTCGTGTTTATTACTTTCCGATCCTTCGAATTTCGAACGCGCCCCGTTCTTTTTCTTTTATTTACGAATCTGGCATTTCTTGTTTTGTGGCCAGTCTCTTTAATGTTGCCATCGGTTGCGTTTATAATATTATTATCGACAATATATTTAAAATGTTTATTCTGTTCATTTTATTATGACGTGAAGGACAATTGTTTTGACATTCAAATTACTTTGCTAGACTTAGAAAAAAAATATCTTAAAAATAATTTCAAGAAATGAGAATCAATTATGACTTATTGGATAATGACTAAGAGCTGATAATAATAAAGAAGTACTACGAACATTTCAATGAAATATCTTTATACCTAAAACGGTAACCGAAGCATTGCCCTAAAGTTGGAAGTCGGCCAGCCTAAAATGAGAATGCATACACTCGATAAGTTTGAACGCATTAGGCGTTTTCTTAAGCCGACATTATGGGGCTCCGGTTCCGAAGCGGCGTCGGAGCCGAAACGACCACAAACGACCAGTTATAGCCATCTCGATGGCAGATAAGCACAAATGAATATGTAAAGCGTCCTCCCACGCCCGCAATAATAAAACAGGGCCAGGCCTGACCCTATGGAAATGAAACGGGCAATTAATATTGTTTATTCGCGTCCGTTAGTCACAGCGGAGGCATTAAGCGAGGCCTGCCCGGTCCGGCGAGCCGCGCCTCGTGTGCCCGAGCCGACTCCGACTGACATACCACCCGGTAATTCCCTACGCTCATAACGGGACATCCAGTTATGGTAATCATAGCCGAATTTCACGATCACGAGCGTTTCGAAAGTAGATTGATGTGGCGACGATCGCTCCCGTTCGAAGGAAGCGGACGCGTGGCCGAGCAGCCCGAGCAGGCCGAGCAGAACGTGCCCTCGGCTGACCAGTTCATAGTCGAACGATTCGATGAATTCCGATCAATTACCGGCAGTGATTTCCTACTGGCCGACGTACGGGAACCTTCTCCGACCGCTCGGACGAGTTTCGCAGGTATCCTTCGACGGCGGCCGCTCGGCCGGAGTCGTGTCCGTCTCCGGAGCCCTGATCTCACTCGACGCATGAATAATTCCCGCGAGGAGCCGCTATCGATCGCACACGTCGAGGTTTTTATTTATACGTCGCGGGTGGGCGAGGCGCGTATTAGTAAACAGGCGCAGGCGCGGTCCCGGCCGGCACTCACCGACTTGTAGCACGTTCTCCACGCAGCCGGCCTCCAGCAGCTTGAGGCCGCGGCAGAAGGCGATGTTGCGGTGGTCGTCGGGCGGCGCGCGCGCCAGCGACGAGTACATGCAGATGTCGCGCTCGTCCCGCGGGAACGACCAGTACACCACGCGCCGCTGCACCGGCTCCGGGATGCGCTCGTAGCGCTCCTCGATACGCTGGAAGGGGATCGCGGCCGCCACTATCTTGGCCGTGATGTCGAGCAACGTCGGCGGGGCGCGCGGCCGGCAGCACGCGCGCGGCGCACACGTGGACATCGCGCTCGCTCGGCCGCTCGGCGCGGACTGACGTGCTCTCGACTGTCGCCGGCCCCCTCCCCCTCCCTGCTTGCGGGCCCCTCTGCCCCCCGCCGCCGTCCCCCGGGAGAGCCCCCCGCGGGGACGACCGCCCTACATCGACACACTACTATAAATTATTCATTTGGCGAGCATAATGTGCGATATATTATTAAAAGTTGGCATTTCTGTTTTATTCTGTGACGACGATAATTTATAAAATCGTTACATTTTCTGTGAACTAAGATCGAGACAACTCGACCATTCGTACCGGAGCTTCCTCCGATAGTGTACTCTTCTTTACGAAATTAACCATTTGTACTTAGACATGAACACGCATTATAATATCAGTAACCGTCGGCCGTTTCGTTATATTAGTCGTTATACCCAGTCTGAATGTATAAGTAGAGAGTTGAGTCGAACGTTTCGACGAACTCGCGCCATAAAGAATGCAAGCTTAACATAAAAAATTATGGCACAAAAAGCATCTAATCCATTCGGGTCCTGCCTCCTCACATTACACAAACGAAGGGGAAAGGCGGGTGGGGGTTACATTAACAGCTGATAGCCGGGTGTGTGCGGGGCGCGGGGGGAGGGCGCGCCGCTGACGGCCGGGGCCGGGGGGAGGGGGGGGGGCTAGCCTCGACGTCAGGTGTCCGACTCGCTCAGCTGTGATTCGCTTCCAAAGCGCTACAGCCGCTGAGCGGTCCCCCACGTACAATGACCTCTATTTGTTTATAATATTTTTTTTGTATTACAAGTATTGTGTCCGCCGTCCGCAGGTACACGGCGCGAGGCGACGCTCCGGGAACATTACGACTGATCGCTGCGATGTTATATGAATAGCGTTCTGTGATAGACCTCTACGATATGAGGATAATTCGTTGCTTTGTATTGTTTACTTTGATTACTAGATTGAGAATATTGAATGTTGAACAATAATGAGTCTCCATACGATTTATATGTAAAGAACGGTACATATAAATCGCCATTACACTGTAAGCTGATCCGTTACATTAACAGACATAAAATGAACATACAACAAACAGAAGTATCGAACATAAACATAATGCGTCGATAGAAAGGAAATGATGTATATAATGAAAGTAAACGTGTTCAGTGCAATGAAGCGCTGCAGCGCTGCTGCGGTCCGGGTCTATGTCTCGACGTATATATAGTACATAATAATAATACAAATTACGTGTCAGTCAGCTGATCTGTGTTATGAATTGTTTTTAGGGTTCCCTCGGAATGTAAACAAACTCATTACATATAACAATTATATGTTTAATTAATCAAGATACTTATATTATATGTATATTCAACATACTGCCGATATCTTTACTAATATTAAATTTTAAAGAAAAACATCTGTGCGTTGTTCACATATATATTAAGTTTTCATGTCCATTTTTAATAACATACGTACGCCATCATATAAATTACATGATTATATATATGTATCTATATTCTTATATATTATATGTTATGGAAACAGCATATACAACTTTATATATTTGTTATATATTGTAATGTTATCTGCTACCAGCCCGCGCGGACTTGGCGTTGTTCCTAGTTTTTTTGTGATCCACCTTCTGACCCAGTTTCCTAATGATACAATTGGCGAATTTAAATTTATAATTACAATTCAATTACGTGACGGGAATTTTTAATTTAACTTGCGTCGTTTCCGTTATAAATAATTATATTTAGAATCCTGCTCATAATATTAAATATTTTATTTACATATAAAAAATGCAGTACATAATTTAAATGAAACTATTTACTCATTACGTGAACTAGTACGGTTATAAAAATTGCGTAGTAGATCCGAAAATATTAGTTTCATTTAAATGAATACTAACGAAAATCTTAGCTCTCATCATGTACACAGTAATTTGTTATTTTTCACGTCAACCTTGTATTAACTTAAAATATTGCAAAACGGAGGACATAAAACGCAATAATTATTAATTACTTAATTAATCTTAACGAAATATGTACACGCTATATCCTTAGTATGGGTTGTTACTATTAACGTAAGACTTATAGTTCAAAGTTCAAACGTTTTCCATTTACTGTCATAGGAAAAATATCGCACCTACTTTTAATCTTAACTCATAGCCGCCATTTTCTATATTGAAAAGCATGAAAGGCTTTATGATTGAATTAAATTTTTTTCTATGTATAAATACAACTCGAGTATGGACAAAACTACGGGGAACTGTATAGCTAACGCTGGAAACATTTTATAGATATATGCTTTACAAAATTTAAGGTATAATAATATAATTCTAGATAACTAGACTTATAAGCAGTAACTGCTTATTTGCACATAATAAAAAAATATAAATAATTGTTAAGCAACCACAAATAAATGGAAAAACATTTAATTTATGCCATAGTTTCTTTTTTTTATATTGCTTTACTAGTTCAACATTGATTTGAAATCCATATATTCTAGTATAGTGGTTGACTGGTGTAACAAAATGGCAAGATAATACATATAAGGTAGAGAAATTCAATAAAATTTTGGTTAATAAATATACTTAGACATAATAATATTAAATATAAGATAATAAGTTTATCTTGAATACTTGTTAAATATTCAAAAACGAACATGTAAAAAAATAATCCCAAACGGAAAAAAGAAAAGCTTTTAGGTGACGTCAGTTTTGGACTCAGAGCTAATGTTGACCCAGACGTGCTCCACAATGTTTACATATTTAGAACGTTCCCTGAGGCTCCTATCGTTATTTATAAAATAACTATTAATATATACGTCCATACATTTTAATCGATTTCAAACTTCATTACAGGAATCCGATAATCGATGTTTGATTGTTATACTCAATGGATTGTTCCAGCTAAAACGGAATTTTAAATTACAAGCACTGTTTCAGTGTAAGTAATTATTATTAAAAAATTTAATATGTAAACGCGTTTTTATCGAGCTTTTTTCAGTGGATAATACAATTATCATTCTAATCGATGTTTATTAAAATCGATGATTTCAAATAATAGATGCTTAAGTAAATCGATACTCATTAATACTCAAATGTCATTTAAACGGTCTGCATTTGGCATAATACTGTAAATCGTCGTCTTAATAAAATATATTAAATTAAATTTAAAAGTGTGACATATAAAACGTCAGTGACGAAACCTCTAGAGTAAATTTTTCCAATCGTCCCGTAGCAAAACCGCGAATCAATATCGTGTTCCGAATTTAAACCGTATGTCCGCGCCATTTTTGTCAGATCTAATGAACTATTAAAGTGTAATTTGGGTGCGCGTCGGTGCTAGATGGCGTTGTGCGCATGTATTGATCGAGAGCAGGGGCCAACTTCTGAACAAGTTCTGCCAAGTCACGGAATGTATTGGTGCTATTGTGGCGAAAAATTACTGGGCCCGGAGTCGGCCTGAATGCTGAATGCCGACCGATTTCACGATCGTGGCTATTATTATGTTTTTTTTATATTAAAAAAGCTGTTTCGGCGCAACTCCATTCAGACTCGCTTATTTATGAAGTGTGGTGCTAATGATTACTACTGTTATTTCTGATCTTTGTCTAAAGTTAATGAGCGGAATTCATTATTATGGTACTGACTTTTTGCATATATCATAAAAGATAATAACTATGGTTAAATTATTATTTATAGAGGAACATTAATATGTTTAATAAAGTTAATGTGCACTATGTTTGTTTAATTAAATAAAATGCCTGAGATCGTAAGTCTTAATAGTGCGGTGGCACTGATTAATGCTGATAGCAGCGCCATCTAGGAAATTTGTTACCGCTTCTGTGTTACTTAAGACTTGACTGCGTACTTGTAAGAATAAAAACAGAAATTCTTTACATGTGTTGAATTATATCTACCTAACATTTTGGAATAAAGATGTAGGAATGTAATATTAATAAAATAGAACATTTATATGTAATTATTTAATATAAAAATATAATTTCAATTCCAATAACCATAATAGTAAGATCCCTCGTAATGTTTTTTTTTTATTTAAGAGATTGGTAATTTTATCATTCAGTATAAAATTATCGTAGTGTATGTTGGTACATGTAATTAAGTAGATTGCTGGTCGTTAGGGGCCCGGAAGTTCGTTGTACCGGACAGGATATGTCAGCTGATTACCCCTATCCCAGGAATATAGTTCCTATAAAATATTAAAATTATCATTCTATACATAAATATGTAATATATAATAAGATAGATATACTTCATTATTTTTAATGGCATTGTTCAACAAGAATTATGATAAAATAAGGAAAACTAAGGAATTAAAATAGAAAAAATGCTTTGATTATGTTTCATATATTAATCATGCCATAAAATATTGCGTTTCTAACTGATTATCTATTGTCAACAGAGATGGCGCTATTCTTAAAAACAAAACATCACAAAAAAAAATGTCATGTCTGTTTTTTTAATATTATAAATTATTTCCATTAATAACATTTACAAAATAATTTATTTCGTATAAATAATATAATAAATACCTTATGCGTGTGATCGTAACCTAGTTGTGTTGTTTTTCTGAATGGATTCGTGAACTGTAGCGTGACATCGACCGACTTGCTCATGTACAAGTCAATGGCGATCGATACTTTGCTGTCACGTTCTGTTGCGGAATCCAACGCATAGAGGACGCCACAAACTATGAACATTTCACCTACCTACAATACATCACATGGTTTTGCTTACTACAAGAATAATATCGAAAAAATTAGAAGTAAAAACTTATTTTATAATAACCTTCTTTCGAGTTATTGTTTTGTAAGTTTCTTTTATTTAATATCCATAAAAAGTACGTAAATATATTGAAAAAGTTACAATTATGTATAATCATCTCAATTCTAGACGTTTGTTGTATCTGAATTATTCGTTTGAGGTCTTTGCTTTGACTTTGAGTTATAAAATTGAAAAAAAAAACTAAAAATATCTCTAAGAATTACAAAAAAAATTATAACTACTGGCTTAACTCCAGTGACAAGTTCTAACTAAAAGATATAAACAAAAATTTTTTGACTTGTTTTTCATCCCATCTAAACTATAAGCATTTGAAAATTATTCTCATTTACAAACCACAGATTAAATAAATGATATATTGATTAAGATATATGTATGGCAGGCAATATGTCTTACTTGTTTATGATTTAAGGAGATGTTCCAGATATAGTCTATATTAAGATCATCCTTGTTGGGATCAAAGCTGAGCTGGAACAAACGTAAACAATAAGGATTTATAAAACATCAAAGGAGTTTATACTCGACACATAATGTATGATTTTTTATTCAAGCAATCAACTCTTCATAGTTATTTTAATTGATAAAGTATCTTATTTATATATATTATAAAGTTGATTTTCATTTACCTTAGCAACCGCTGTGTTATTTGAACCTTCTAGGGAGTAAATCGCCCAGAGTCCGTTGTCGTCTGCGCTGAAGTCGACCTTAGATAATAAAATTATACAAAAAAACGATTACTTAGTATCATGATAAGTTCTATGACCACATATTTTCTTCTTTTTTGTAAACTTAAGAAGATTTGGTGGTAGATATACATATTTTTGACAAATAATATTGAGGTTATTTAGTTAACGAGTGGCTTTTATTTTATTGTCTTGTCCCGGTGTACACATTTCTCAGCGGTTTAGGGTTAAAATATGTTATCTATTGTAGATGCCTTACAAGGAGATTCTGGGCAAAATATGGACAATCTTCTTTGGAAGCGTACAAATGGTAAATGTTATGATTCGTGGTGCTGGATTCATATCAAGAATAGATTAATAAAGAAGATGAGAGGGTCATTGATAATCTTCTAAATCAATATAATACGGTGTCTCTATATTTCTTCTATTTATATTCTTAAGTTTGATTTTCATTATAACTTTTGAATTACAATCCTATCTTTCGTTATACATATCTGTTTCAGCAAATACTTATGTGAACAAAACTTTTCTAAAATCTTTCATTCTCAAACTAAATAAACTAAATATAATATTAACTTAAGTGTATAATATGAAAACTATTTGTTTTTGGTCTTCTAAACTTATAGAAAGGTATTGTTATAATACGCGTTTCGATTTAAAATGCTATCATTGTCATATCAACATACTGACTGAAAGAAACATAAATGAAAAATATCTGAATATTTAGATATCACTGTTAACAAATAATTACTTGGTTATGTTGCGCCGTGTACAGTCTACCCTGCGCGTGCGGTAGATGTGCTGATTTGATACGACTCTGTGTTAGATCGTAGCGCACTATGTCGCCGGGTGTACCGGACTCATTGGCCTGGTAGAAGAACGAGCCGCTGTACACTATGTGACCGTTACCCTGGGAATAACAAGATATAATATGTTAATATAAAAAAAAGTCGTGGTGGCCTAGAGGTTAAAGTACCGCTTCACGTGCATGAGGGCGCGGGTTCGAAACCTGGCAAGTACCAATGTGATTTTTCCGAGTCATATGTACTTTCTAAAAGTATTTAGATATCACTGATAGACGGTGAAGGAAAACATCGTGAAGAAATTTGGACTTATTATTTTAAATTTGAAATCACCAACCCGTCTTGAGCAAGAGTGGTGATTAATGCTCAAATTTAAGAAAAGACCTCGTAACATTAAACGATGGATATCGTTTATTTATCACATTTACCATAAGTACTACAAATTTCGTTTATGTAAGGTAAAAGTTAGCTAGTTTGATGAACGAAATTTTATAGCAATTTTGTTAATGAAAAGTTATTCTTATATTATTATGTATTACTAATTATAAAAAATATAACAATAAGAGCGAATTAAGTAATCTAAGTATACAGGGTGACTGGTGAATTACTATCAATATTTAAGGAGCATACTCGGTACATGATTCTCATTCGAATTATGTAAAAAAAATAGGTACTTAATTTTTGACCAAATTTCCGTATAAATAAATAAAGGGTGGACACGTTCCAAGTGTGGACGCGTGCGGCGGCGTGCTTATACAACACCACGCCGCCGACGCGTGTGTGTGTGTGTGTATACCTAATCTGTAGGGTGTTCACACGATGCGTAATTAATTACATAACTTTTCGTTAACTTTACTTAGAAGTTTATTAATATTTATGTTATATTAATTCTTATTTCGTCATATATGATCGTCAAATATCACGTCCTCAAGTATCGATAGTAATTCACCAGTCACCCTGTATATTGCATGAGTAAATTAGTTATATATTTTTATAATTATTTTTTTTGTCAATATATAATTTAGTTCTAACTAATTGTTGTAGTTTAAATAGTAGTAAGTAGATTAAGTTTTCAAATTCACGACACTGTTGCACAGTAAAACACGAATGAGTCTATGGCACCTTTAATAATATGTTATTGTTGTTTATATGTATTCGTTTTAAGATAAATTAATAATTAAAACTCACAAAGAATGGTTTCTGTAGCTTGTGGAACTCGTCCACTCTATCAGCCTTGAAGCTCGCTTTACTTCTGAATTCGTGCAGCCTCTCCACGTCGTTTTCTTGAGTCGTCCACAACTTCTCTCGCTGTAATAAGAAATTTATATCTTTTATTTTGTCTTGATTTTGTCATCAGTTTATCTTTCTTTAAACGTAAAGAGTTTTATTCATATAAATGAAACTAGTATTTTTTAGATATAATACGCGCGCTTTATTTTTGTAAAAAACTACATTTAAATTTCTTTTAACTACATTTAAATTCTGAAAATAGCTTGTTATACCCGTATCATGTTAGTTATAGAAAAAAAAAGTGGAATATCTGGATTTTTGAGTGGATGGTTGTTAGATGAAAATTTGCAATAATATAATTCATACATACATAATACTCTTATACACAGATAGGCTATAATTTATCAGAAAATGTTGTAAATTGTATGATGGTTCGTGCTTCAGACGATAGATGGCGCTGTCAATCGGTCGCCATATTTGTTTTATTGAAGAACACATTATTCATTCTTCTTTTAATTTAATTCCGTAGTTCACATAGACGTAGTCACGAGCTAGGGTTAGTATATACATTGATGTGTTTTTCTTTGTGTACATACCTGAGCTTCAGTGGAATTTGAATCTCTGAGCCAGGCACCAAACAACTCCTCCTTGTACTTGTGGTAGACTGGTTTACCGATCGCGTACAACTGGCAATCTAGATGTTCAAATTATATATGTATTAACAGACGTGTTTTAATTTGAAATATATTATTATAATTTATGACCAGATATTGAGGGGAGAGAGAGGGGAGTAATGACCCAAATTAGACTTAGAAATATGCTTAGAAAAAATCGTGCGCTTTCAAGTGCGCAGTGATTTGGAAGGTGCAGACACATGTATTCTCGATAATATGTAGGTCTGGACATTCCAAAGCGCCATTGATCAGTTTATACATGAACATGTTGTCCAACAAGCGTCTTCATTTAAAAACAAAATAGGTTTAATAGTGACATAGGTCCAAAGAATTTGATTTTAACAGAAGAAATGAATAAAAAATATAGTTTTGACTAGGTAGCTTTATTTTGTTTAATACCACTAATCATAGATCGGCCAGTTTTAATTAGTCACAAACTGTAGAATTGCTTCATAACAGAAAGACTAGCAATATTATTTTATTAATAACAAAGTGTATTTGTAAAAGTAGTCGCTACATACTAGTATTACGGTGAGGCTTGTTGCCTAAGCTAGCGTTCATGGGCGTGATCATGAGCGCTCGGTCACATCGTGGGCATGATGGGCAACGCTGGGCGGAGCAGAGTTCCTCGTAGGAGGTCAACGTGGGCGGCGGGGAGCCGAACTCGCGTGGCTGTTGGATCTGAGATTGTTGCTTTGGACCGGGATCTATGAAGAAAATGTATTCACGTGAAAAAATGTCAGTACATTTGAAGTTACTTTGCATCAAGATGTGACTGCATGCAGTTTCTTAATAAGATTATTTATATGCATTTGAATTGTTTATTTGGAACGTAATAAAAAAATATCCGTGTTTAACAGATTTATGACTTCTGAGTTAAGATTGCGGTTTGAATCGAGGTTTTACAGAAGTTTGGTATCAATTTAATAAAATTCATATTTGATAATTAATCAATAGTATGACTAACAATCTTTTATTGTTACATTTGTTATATACAATCACTTTAATAAAAGTAATTTTGAACTTAAATAAATTATATAATAAAGTAACAGCTGGTCACATTACTGTTAATAAATATTAGGACATGAACTCACGGGACAGTCGAATATAACCTCTAACGGTTGTGTTATTGAGTTCATTTTTGGCTACACAGATGTACTGGCGCATGTCGTGCTCTTTGATGTGAGGTATCTCCAGCCTCATGATCCATCTCCAGGGATCTGATGTAGGAGCCACCTCCATCTTATAGTGTGATCCCTCCACTGTGGTTCCATCGTCGTACTCCCAAGCCAGTACTGGTTCCGGCCAAGCTTGAATCTGGATAGTGAAGCTTCTTTGGTAAATGAATTTCTATTTGAATATATATTACTAGCTTTCCGCCCTCAGCTTCACCCGTGTGGAGTTCGGTTATATCGCGTTTCCTAGAGAACCTTCCAAAAGTCTGGGATAAAAACTATCCTATGTTCTTTCTCAAGGTCATCTCCGTCTCTGTACCAAATTTCATTAAAATCAGTTCCGTGGTTTAAGCGTGTAAGCGTAACAGACAGACATACAGACAGTCAGACAGACAGAGTTACTCTCGCATTTATAATATTAGTAGGGATAATATTTTTACCTCACACTCGATTTGGGCTGTCTTGTTGAACACGTAGACTATGTTGTTTGGCACTCTTATGTAAGGGCTGACTGCAATAAAGAAGTAGAAAGCAACACTGTGTTAATAATATATAATAAATATAATTTCAAAATGAACATTTGTATACATAAGAACAATTAGGCAAACCCTGGATAAGATAGGATTTGCCAGAAAGAAGAAGAACGATTTAATATATAAAATTGATCCCAGGAATCATGGTTAACTTTAAGTATTATAGTATTTATGCCATTAAAATGGGCTAAATTCGTAAAGATATGATAGAAACCACGTTTTTGGTTATTATGTACGCTATAAATTAGACAGAGTTTCTTAGACTTCGTTTATGCTGTGTTTTAAAAATACTATTCTGTAACAGACAACTCACAGTTGACTTCCACGTCCGTGGTCTGGTTGGCGGGAGGCTGCATCCCGTTGTTAGCGAGACACACGTACTTGCCGGTGTGCCAACGAGATACGTTCGGTATGTTCAGTACGTGGCCGCTGACTGACGCGTCACGCCATGAACCCTGGAAACAGACATTCAGTTTTTGTCACCAGCCTATCAGAGCCCACTGATGAGCAAAGGCCTCTTCTTACTTGCAGAAGGTTTGAGCATTAATCACCACGCTTGCTCAAGACGGGTCAAGATATTCAGCTTATGGAGAAGAATAGAGAAATATGTACTTTCTAGTAATTTGATTATTAGTGCGTAAAAACTGTTACTATACAATAATAACTAGAATGCAAAAAAAAAACAAACAATGGATATAATTTCATAACGATAAGCACTTCCCCAAAAAGAAAGTCTTCTAATACTATAGTAAAATCTTCTAACCTGAATAATGGGTGTACCATCAGCTCTCCTCCATTCAATGACAGGATCAGGGAAGCCTTTGGGATTACAGTCCAATCTCATGGTATCCCCTTCTCTAACTATAAGTCTCGGATTATCCACTGGAAACAGAAACATATGAATCGTATCTGATATATCTTAATGACGCCAGAAAAAGTTAAGCACTTGTTTAATTGACGCTATTTTAAGTTAAACAATTTGGACTAAGAGATTTATTCCTTAAAAATTATTTATTTATATTCTTCTGGTTACTTCTTACATGCAAACGAAGGAGGTATAAACATCTGGTTCTCTTTGGTGTAGTTATAGATGGATAGTCCTGGTTTCCCCGGTATTCCGTTAAGTCCGTCATTCCCCTTTGGCCCTTTGGGTCCGATTGGACCACGTTCGCCTTTAGGTCCTCGAATACCAGGTGGGCCCTGAGCTCCGACTTTTCCTGGAAACATTTGATAATTCACGATTATATTAGATTTGTTACCCTCAAATTTATTAAATTGTATAGATGTTAAAAAATTTACGAAATGAACTATGTCATCAAATTTGATTAGGTAGAGAGAGGAGTTAGGAAAGTGGAGGTGAGCGTTTAACGCGCGTTAGATAGAGGCCTATTAAACCTACACCTGAGTTGCAAGTCCCAGGCACTGTTGAAGCTCCTCTCATTATCTTTTGAATACTAAGAGTTTTCATCTCATATATGTATCTTTCAACTTTAACATGGTTAGTATACTTACCATCTTTCCCATCCTTTCCATTTTTCCCTGGGATTCCATCTCTGCCCGGTATACCATCTTGTCCGTACCTGCCCGGCGCTCCGTCTGCCCCGTTCCGTCCCGGCAAGCCATCAAGACCTGGTTCACCCGGCACTCCGTCTCTACCATCTAATCCAGGGTTCCCCGGGAATCCACGTTCACCTTTTAAATAATACAATTACATTTTCATTATGACTTTTGAAGGGATGTAAAGTCAGTGTGTTGATTTTATTTTTAACACTTTCGCGGACACAACGTGATAGTACGTCATGACTTGATACTTAGATACGGCACAACATACGAGTATGATGACGTTCAAAAACAGAATATTATATACGGCAGAGCGTTGATATACGATCAATTTTCGTGTTTAAGAACTTTATTTAAAAGAATTTACATTCACTTAAAACAATAATACAATTATAAAAATGTTGTTGGGTAGTTCGACAATTCGTACGGTACACGGTACACACGATGCATAGATACAAAGAACTGTTGCAACTAGAAGTCTTAACATACCGAAGTTTAGAAGTTTTATATAATGTTAAAAAAATATTTGATATGCAATGAATTATACAGTTTTTTATTTAACTTAGGTTCTGTAAATATCTATATTAGTTTAAGGTTCTTAAATATAATTTTGGACATATATTTTTATTTATTAATTAATTTAACTTAGAATGTTATGATTACTAGTAATTAAGGATTTAAGTAATTTTTTTTTAAATTAGCCATCGTTTTTGCGTTTTTTATATTTTAATGCACATTTTATCATATTTAGTACGCGGCTTAAATAATCTAATGTCATTTGCTTATCTTCTATTTCTTGTAGTCTTTTGGCGAAGTTGTTATTATTTTGGGGATGTTTTTAAAATATTTTATGACCAAATTCTTTTCTCCATTTTCCACGCGGTTATTCAGTTCGGCTTTTAAATTTTCTAAGTAAGACTGTTGTTGAGGTGTTTCATCTGAATATATCTTAAAAGAACTGTTATTTACTGTGTGTTTATTACGTAATATTAGTTTAGCTGTGTTTTTAGAACTAAAGCAAGCTTTTATGGGTCTAGTTTTATTTGGATCGTACTTCCTAAGGCGTATTACTTTTATTGGCTTATCGCAATTTCCATCAATAGCCTGTATAATTTTGGTTACTTCTTCTTTATCCATATTTTTTCGTTCATCATTATTTGTAGAGGTTGATTCCTTTATGCCAGTAATAATAATATTTTTGCTTCTATTATCTCTTTCTTGAATTTCAGATATGATATCTTCATAGACATTTGTGGACGAAAAATTATTAGTAATGGTTTTTAACAGACTAACTTCGTGTTCTATGTGTTTAATAGAATTTTGTATGGTATTGTTTCTATTTATTAACTCCAGAATTTCGGCTTTCATCGAGTTTTGTTCTATTTTGAGACAATCAGTAGATTTTACTTATTTTTTTATTGACTTTATATCTTCAGACATTTTGTTCATGAATTTTTTTTTTATCACTAATCTTGGGCCACTTCCAGTCGGTGAGCAGTTTGTTCATAGTTGATCCGTGTTTTATCTACCTTATCGCATTAGTACTGCTTTTAGAGAAAGCAAAAAAATAAGAGGCCGACTTCTTTCCCCGAAGTGAGGAGGAGCGGTTACCTCGTCGCTGCTTTTGTTTTAGTGTAATCAACTTCACTTCCTAATCATTTGATAATAGGTGTTAATTTTGCAAAACTTCCGATATACAGTATTTTTAAATGACGCACAGCACGTTCACTCAGTACGAACTACAAACTGCAACTCCAATTTTAATACAAAAATTAGTTATATGGTACCTTGTGTCAAACATATTGAAAGATCAAAACTCTACTGTCACGTGAACTTTGTTTCTAACCGTTTCCAAAATATGCGTTTGACTAAACGTCGCCATACTACACACCGACGCACTCCGGGTATATACGTTCTCGGTGCCTTACCGCGTCTATACAATATTCAAACGTGATAACACGGTTGTGTCATATTGTCTTATAAACATCTAATAACATAGAACACAACGTGATTAAACGCCGAATATACTTGTATGGCAATTTATTTTGTCATTCTACAACACAATTTAAACTGAGACTGTCCGTGACCGTGTTAAGTAATCTTAGACATTATAATAGAATTATTGCTACCAACGAAGATATTAATATTGGATAATTATTCTCAACATAGTTTCTAAAATAAGTCCATCTCTAAGATAGGAATTCCCAATTACGACTTACCTTTAGGTCCAGGTGGTCCGAAAGGTCCAACTGAACCTGGGCTGCCGGGTATGCCAGCCTCTCCTGGTGACCCTCTGTCTCCTTTCGGACCTGGATAGCCCATGGGACCCTTCGGTCCTTGGACGCCAGGGGGACAGTAATCTTGAGTAGCCTTGCAAAACCCTTGAACTACTTTGTACTAAAACAAATGAAAATTTTGAATCAATTTAATGTACGCAGTCCATACAGAAACGAATTGAACTTTAAGGATTAAATTCAGCAATATAATAAATCATGAACGACATGTACATTCCATACTCGCGTCGAGTTGCGGAGATCAGTTTAAGTCCTCTCGTTTTTTTAAAAAAATACAGATAAGAAAACTAAAATACTATTTATAAACAAAATGTATAACAATGACAACATACTAACTACATATTATGACAGTTATAACACATATAAAGTTAATTTTATTCTAGGCTATCAGTTGGAACAATATCATCCATTAACCGAAGCCGTTGTAATAGTGACAGTCAAATATGTAAACAACTTTCTTTCTTTGTATCCATTTCACAGAAGCTTCTAAGAACCCTTAAATATTGTATTCTGGGGCTTTTGAAGGTTAACTACTTAATAAGACGTGATATTTTATGCTAGATCGACCGAAAAAATGTTTTTAGCTCACAAGTGGTAGTGCTAGGTTGAATCTCGTGTTTTAAAATCAAACACTCCTGCAATAGCTCCATGAAACGGAAAAGAATCTTTTCCCTCTACTCTTCAGATTGGTTGTTTTATTGAAATAAGCTTTTGGTAATCTCAAAATCTATAAGAAATGATATATTTTTGATACTTCTTTTTTTCAATCAACTTTATTCATTTAACTCTAAAGTCCTTTATGAGGTTGACATTCGTGATTACTTATTATCAAGAGGGTTCTTTGAATGATAAATCTTTTGTGGAATTAATGAGTAAAAACTTATATTTTGTTTTGTAATTCTGTTCTATTTTATCCTAATCGTCTTTATGTTGTTAAAATATCAATATTATTTCTTAATTTCGTTTGTACAAGTATGTTATAATCCAAGAGCCATTATAAACGCAAAAGTTTGTGAAGGTTTGTTACGTCTTCACGCAAGAAACACTTAATAGCTTTAGGTGAAAATTTACTATAATGTAGCTTAGATATCAGTATGAGACGAATAGGTTATAATTTATCCCGAAATTCCGTCTTACAGCAATTACAGCAGAATCAAGGCTTAAAAGTTCTATTATGTAAGTATGTGTTATATGTATAACGAAATGTCGTTACAGTATAACGCGCAATTTCTACAGAAACCTTCAAATACTTAAACTTCTTAAACATACAAAGAACCTCTTTTGGCTGTCAGCCAGGGATTATTAACATATGAAACTTTAAAGAATCTACTACGGCTAAATGTAAAAACATAAAAGAAAAAATCTAAAAATATTATTACAGGATAGATATGAGGCCTAGTATATTATTATTTGTCCAACATATGTATGTGGCTATGGAGATAAGAAATTAAAATGATAAAAATATTATGATTTTCAAATAAAATGTAGATGAATTATCGCTACCCGCTTCATGACCCGAATTTTAGGGCATCAAAATTTATTACCCTAAAATGGTTGACATCGAATTTCGTTTCATTTTGTTCGTGTGCCAAATATGTGATAGATCGTAACTCACGGGGACCCTGGAGTAGCTCGTCAGCCAGACCCAAGTGTCGTCTCCTGGGGCAGGACCTTTGGCACCAGTTCTTTTCATTTCTATGGAGTCTTTTTCTTCTAGTTCTGGTCTCATTTTAGGGTTGAAAAACTCCACGTGTGGTGCAACCGTGTTATCCTCTTCAATTGGAGATTGTTTCTGGGAAAATACAATAAAAATTATTAACAATAAAACCATTTTTTTTGCTGTATTTGAGAATAATGATACAATATATATTTATACTCACAAGCATAGCATCCCTTTTTAATCTATGTGGGCTTGTTGTACTCATTAACTCTATAAATCTTTCTTGAATCCTATTTTCTATGAGTTTATTTATGTGTCTAGAATGTAAATCTTCATGACTTTTAATAGCCAAGAGTTCAGCATAGCTATATGTGTGTAATATTAATGAGAACACGCCACAGACACAGGCGAACACAGTAATCTTTTTGCAGCACCTCACATCTGTAGCGGCAAGTTCTGCTCTATTTTTATTATCTTTGATTAGGTCCGAAGTCATTTTTCCAACATTGTCACTGGAGCACTGTCCCAAACTTATTTTTTTTAATAGCCACAGTTTAAATAACGTTACTATCGTCTGGTTGTGATAGTATCGAATGCGTGTGCGCCGTTATATGTAGTGACTGTTAGTCTGTGTAGAGGGCTACGTATTATCTGAACATAATCCAAACGAAGTGGTCCTTCCTGTGTGATAGCTGCTCGACCCGCTCGCCGATAACCAATTGAGTCCTACTATTAACAACATTTGACAATTTACATACATCATACAGTATCATTCTACTAACTACGGAACACTTTATAACATCGTTTCTGATTTGTTTATTTCAATTAATTTTAAATACTATTTAATAATAATTTCGTATTTTATTGATTCGATATTTCTGCTTATTGTAACAGCAGAAATTACTTGATTAATTTCAATGTACTTAAGTTTATCACAGCCCTTACAAGAATACATCATTAAAAACGTTTCAAAAGTTCCCTCTCGTGTCAGCGCCGGTCTGCGCATGTCCTAATATATATGTCAGGGCCATAATATGACATGAAGCACAAGGTCATTTATGTTTAGTGATTAAACAATAGTATACGTTTCGGTACCAGAGGAAACACTCGTCACAATCGCTAGAGTTATGAACTTCGCCCCACCAAGAGCTGCCACAGGCAAGTACTGAGATAGTTCTAGATGCTACATTTGTCTTTGGTTTGTTGATTTTATTTAGGTTAGGTTGTGTCGCAATTCGCAAGAGAGAAATAATACATTTTGACAACTTCTGTTGTTATTTTCGTTTGTATTAAATATGAAATAGACAAAGGAAAATAAATGTTATATGAACGCTACAGTTGAGCAGCAAATGCTTGAAGTAACCTCAACAAAACAGAGAGTATTGATAAACATTTGAGTACCATTATTTAAGACTATACATACATTGTCCGTAGCTACATATGTAAACCCTTCACAGTTGAGTGGCATCAATGTTGTATACAATTAAATTAATTATTCTATTTGTGGCAAACTCAGTGGAGCTTGGTTCTATATAATTGAATTTAAGTTAAAGATAAATGAAATCAATTAATGCTATAAAGACAGACGGACTACTTTGTGTTGATATATATCATTTTACCTCCACATGTAATTTAATTTGATGTTTAACTCTGATATGCCTCAACCAATAACAAAAGAAACAATAATAAATATATTTATTTTGGACAAATAATGTATGTACAATGAAAGTATAAAATCATTTTAAAACATTTTCAGCTCGCAGTGTCCAGTCTTTAGATGAATATAGGGCCCCACGAGCGCCTTTACGGCGACAAGTGTCTTTGGATGAAGAGAGAAGAGATGACTGCCAGGGTCACTGGCGAGGACCCTACCTGGAGGGAGCTGAGGAAGAGAAGGGGGTCCGCTTGTTCAGAGCGATGCTGTTACAACATCTCAGACTTGAGGATCTGAGACCTCCTCCTTGTATGGTCACAGCCGCCAACCCTGATGAAAGGTAATGATGATTATAAATTCTCACTCTTTAAGAGTAATTGTCCGAATACTAGTGAGTATTAACAACATTTTGAAAGGTTGAAAATCTGTGTTTTGAAGTCATAATGCATCATGCATTTCTAAATAGTAAAAATATGAACTTTTATTTTAACTCATAAATTGGCTTTATTTGATCACTTAAGAACAAGTTCTAATCAAATAATTCCATTTTTGTATACCAAAAAGAAATCTGTAACATTTCCAGTTGGGATTTAGTTAAAGTTTATTATTTTGCCACCAGAGGCTGGTGGATGTACTGGAGAGACTGGCGCTCCCTTGAGCGGGCTGTTCTTAGGTTTAGGGAGACCAAGGCGAAGGCTCAGCTCGCGGCAAGAGCTGAACACATACCGCTGTTGAGTCTAGACGAGGTCCAATTTGAAGATATTATGCAGGAACTCTGTCAGGTGCGTCTAAAGCTAATCAAAGCTAATAGCTAAGGCTATAGGATTAAAATATTTAGAAGGTCTTCTGTCCTTTTATCTGTGTTAATAGTAATATGAATTCTATATCGTCCATTTAACAAAGACTTTCATACGTCACAGGCATGTGTCCACATAGAACAAAGAGCATTACTAGTGATGGCCTTCCTCTGTGAGGTGGTGGGTCGAGCTGTAAGAGTGGGGGGCTGGTGTCGGGCTGCTGACTGGGCTGCCAAGCACGTAGCTCAGTGTGCTACACCCTGGGCTGTTAAACATGGTGGCTGGGTATGAAATGATTTCTTATTCCCTCTTAAAACCTCTTGAGTTAAAGTATCCACGAATCTCAATGTTCACTAATTTAAAAAAGTGTATCTTCCTAGGTTGTTTCTTGTCATGTAGCTTCCATTTGAGATAACAGATTTGACAGTGCATCAACTGACAATTCCAATAATTTACTACATAAAGATCGAGAAAATTACTTATTTATTTCTCCCAGAAGCTCCTTATTTCATTAATATTATAATTCTCTAATATATAAATCAAGTAGATGTTTTAAATCAAAATATAATTTAAGTTGGTAAGAATAGAGTTAGTTTTATCTTCAGTTGAGTTATTAATAAACATATCTTCATATTTCTTAGAGCGCGGTCATAGAACGTGCGGGAGGGCCTCGCCGTGATGATGCTCTACTTGCTGGTGCAGCCATAGCTGCTCTACTTGCGTTTCTCTTGTTCTGTCGCTCACGGTTACGACAAGCCTTACTCTGATATCGTTCAGGGTAAGCTGGTACAATCATCTTCAGCTTTCAGTAGATTCTGATGATAATCAGAACAAATCTTGAGTTTGGAATATGTGGTTGGAATAGTCGGATGTTGACTGTTCAGTGTGACATTAATATATTGCTGAAAATGCAAATTATGCTGTCACCTAATTAGTCTTTCACTAGTCAGGGTGAATACCAAAGATTTGCTTTTCATGTGATGTCATCATCATAAGAATATTTGGACACAAATAAGAGTACAGAATTCTTGTATGTGTCAGATTAAATGTGATTTAAATAAAGTATGGTATGTATAAAACTATTTATAGTATAAATCTTTAGTATTTTAGCTTTTTTTGACTTAGACACATTAATGTCTTCGTGCACTTTTTTCATAAAAAAATACCTATAAATTTAATTATATATTTATATATTAATGTTTTATGTCTATATACATTATTTGATTCTCCGTTTGTGTGAGAAAGTTTATGTATTTTCATATGAATAGGATATGTGTGTAGACTAAAACTTGGTATAAAATAAGTGAATTATTAATAAAAAAAATCAAGTTACAAACTTGAAAAGTGTATAGGACCAGCTCAATATTTGCTTCAAAATAAAAAATGGCTGCTAGTGAAGTTGCGCTTACAATATTTCATTCAAAAAATATGTCCAATATATACTTTTTTTTAATAATTAATCTAATAAAAATTCACGAATTATCGATTTATTAAAATACTCCAAAATAAATCTAATTCTGTCCATAACTACCATAGAATGATAAAATAATTACAGAATTAATTTATTATAAGAATTTAATTTAATGTTTGACTTAGTCGATGTTTCAACTTTAGTTACATGTTTTTGTGTAATAAATATTATGATACAATACAGTGTTTTAATAACATTTTTTCTAAAATGATTTGTGTAATATTTTACATATAAAATCTCAGGAAACTAAGAGTTGTATTTTTCGCTATTTTACTTAGAATTATTACATATTATATTTTAGATTTCTAAGACTATTTAGACATCACTGATTAGTGCATTCCCAAAAAGGGTTGATGTCAGGCAGGTGGACGGTCGTAAAAACAATTAGCCAAAACTATTCACAACATGTAAGGCAGACCCTGGCTATAGCTGGAAAATTGCCAGGTAGAAGAAGAAGATTAGACTAGATTAGATATTATATCAAATGCTTTATGATATATAAGTGACAGTCCTCAATTTATCCTTTTATTCTATGCCAACCTTCTCTTCTCATCAGATTTTTACTAGCAGAGTGAATATTTCCTCGTAAACTCGTACTTTTTTGATTATTAAATTACATATTATATTAATATTTAAATCTAAGTGAGCCTTATTTGCCTTAACATTGAGATATACAAGAAAAGATTTAAAAATGTGACTAAGATTTACGAATTTATATTCTTTATGTAACAATTCTAACTTATACCAATCCTTGTTAGATTATCATGAATTATATGAAAGTTTTCAATATACTAATATAAAATAAATCATTGTAATATTATCAAATAGGGATATTAATTTTCATAAATATTATTAAATATATAATTGGGTATATATCAAATTTGATATATATAAATAAATACACTTCTCCATGTGAGAAAGAGGTCTTTGCTCAGCAGTGGGCTCTGATAGGCTGATGACGAAATAAATACACATAATAATTCACTATTTTATAATTTTTATTGTAATTTTTCATAATACGGTCGACACGCCGATGCTCTTTACGTATGACAAAAACAATTAATTACCTGAACACTAATAGAAATGAATACAGCATTACAATATAAAACAATAATCACAATATTCAACGATCAATAAACATTTCACTGTTAACGTTTACATTTAAAATATAAAACATTTAAAACATAACAAAATAATTCATTTATTTTACTGTTGTACTTACATTCGTTTCACTGTTTGTTATATTCATCACGACTTCACATTGTAAATGAATAACTACATTATACGACTAAACACAGTATTAGAGAAGAAAGAATTCATTTAAGAAGTACATTAAAATAAATAAATAACATTAAATGTTGAACATATAAAAAATAAAGTGAAATGTATAGCATTTATAGGAAATTATAATAACAATTCAACAATTAATACTGTTCTGTTCGCACGAGAGAGATGCTTCTATTCAACACTGAACCGTCGAGAGCCGCCTCTTACAACTTTGAAAATCTAAACTTATCTAATTAATAACATTTTTTTTACTTAATTAATATCACTATTAACAATCTACGCTGCTTCCACGAGCTCCACAGTCTTAGAAAATATACACGTATGTAAAAAAAACAAACATTTTGAATTTCAAAGAATACTTTATGCAACTAATACAAAATTTTCGTGAAAAATAGAAAATAAACTTAATAAAGTAATGATTTTTCTTAATGTCCAATAACTGTCGAGCTCGCGACCTCTCAGCTATGAAAAAAGGTCATTGACTAAAGTCATTGTATAACCTCAGACGCGACACATTAAAGCTGAACATCAACACAGTTTATCTTTTATCTTTAAACAGAGTTTATCTTTTATCTTTAACGACAAAAGGAAGCGTCCTCCCGACCGCGTCCGAGGATATACAATGATCGGTTCGTGTGTCTTTATTCCATTAAATTTATTAATTTATATAAAAACCATCATTCTAGTAACAATTCTACCTGGATATCATACTCAATTATAAGATAATTAACATTTTTTTTTCTCAATTTTATTTAGCTTTAAGCCTAGTCTTACACTACCAAGGGATAAAGACGTCTTATTAGTTACCGATTGCGATATCATCAAAAATCGTATAGGCTTTAATAACATTTGAAATATGATGAGAACTAAGTCGGCTGTGCTATTTGGTATTGAACAAATGCAATTTGATGCAACTACGTATGAGAGTATCGTGATATGGCAACACTTCACGATAACCTACCGCGGACGCTACTAACAATGGAAGGATGATAAAAATTTACAGAATCTAATTAATATTATAAGAGAAGATAGATAGAAGTAGCTAGTGTATAATTTAGGATAGTATAGGTAAAGAAGTGAATACTTACATACGTACACACATACTTGGTGCTTCCCATGTCATTATATATTACTTTTACATCATAATTACCGCGTTCTACACGAATCTAGATTGTCAAATAGATATCACCGACACTTTTATGAAATACGAGGAGAGAAAATTCGTTTAAATCTTAAATATAGTTGTATAGATGGCCGATTGGATCCCACAGTTGTACGTACATTAGAGACAGATCCCAACAATAGTTTTAACAAACTGCAAGACCAAACGGCACTGCTAAGCGAACTACAGAAGTCTATCACTATTATCAAATCCAATCTTAGTATATACAGTACGAGGTGAGAAGAGAAAGATTTCGTCATATAAATATGTCATAAGCATGCCCTTATCACAGAATATGAAATGCCTGATATAGCGATATGTTCACCCGAACTCTCTTGTTTCAATAAATTATTCAACAATTTCATTGAACTAATATTTCGTTTTAATCAAAGTTTCTAATCATCGAAGCACGTTCCGTCATATTAAGACTTAACCCGTTGACAATGTGTATTGTTAAAGCTTAACATTACAATCTATCTAATATAATCTATTTATTGCTATGTCATATAGGCGGGTTATTATATAGTTCGTGTGATACTAACAATCTTTCTAGAATCTCCGATCGATACAATTTTCAACGAAAAAATCCCATCATTAACAGTGACTCTACGGACGGTTTACTAAGATGTTCGAAATTAAATTAAATTAAATTACTAGAAGTTTAATTTAAAACAACAGCCGTAGGATAGGACTAGTGTTGAAGTCATAATACTTTGAGATGAGCGAGAGTTTGAGCGGGACAGAGTTCCTTGTTGCAGACATCTATGTAGTAAGTACATCGAAGTTATTTACCCGTATATAAGCTAGTTAAAAATGACAGAGCTATCAAACTCTTAGGCACATTAAATGTAATCTGATTATAATGTATAATATTATATATTATACATCTGATTATAATGTATAATATATATCAACCTCGCCCCGCTCCTATGTGTATTTACATTACTTTATCTAACACTTGTGCAGCGACGACCTCGTCTTTGTATAATTATAATTTGTAATATTTATAATATAATATTTGAGACATCGATTTATTTTTACAGCACACGACAGCGAGGGCTCATTATGGAGACGCACCTTTGTGCTTTGTATTGGAAGCCAAATTACTATGAACCTTTAAAACTTTTTTTGTTATCTATAATCGATTATATACATTCGATTATTCGATTACTAGTTAATCGCTATGGAATAACTAATGGTATAAATATTGGTACTGTTTGGGATCATTATATCTAAGGTAAATATAATTTTATTTGTTTTTTTTTTCATTGTATTATTTATTGTAAAATAAATTTTTTGCAGAATTTATCCAATTCGTATAAAAAATTGTATAAAACATCAAACTTCGACGTCCACGCAATGTCTTGGACGTAACGTAACTCGACCTAGCGTTCAAAATAACTCGCTACGTACATCAAAATATTTACAAAAATTAAAACAAAAAATAAATAAAAAACATTTAAACACGGCTACACTAAAAATTACTGTAAAGCTATAAACAACTAACATTTATATAAATATATCTACAATCTATGTCAATTACTATTTTTCTGTCTATAAAATCTACCGCGAAATAAGGGATCCCGGATCCCGGATAAACATCAAGTCAAAACCCCACTGTACCCCATCAGGTATTTCATTTCGCGTTTTCCGACAACAATTCAAGTAACGTCAAAATTTACATAAAATGGTTGGAAAATCGTTTGAGCGAAGACACTTAAAAACTAAACGAAGCAACGTTACTTTATATAAGGCGAGAACTGGTTTAAGATCAACTTTTCTTATTGTGAACCAATAAAAAATATATAGATATATCAATGCTAAATTATTCAAATTAAATAACAGATCTTAATCACCTATCATAACATCGATGTATTGTTTTGTTTGAACCGTTTTTGTGCTCGTGACTTTAAACTAATCTAAGCATTACTCGCTGGGACAATGCAGATAACCGTACTCTAGACCTAAACTGACGGCAACGAACACGAAGTACAGCAGAAACATTGTGAAACCGAGACCTCTGTTCATCTTCCATCTGAAGCAGGCTATGCTGATGATGACGAAGATCAGCATCGCGAACAGCAGCACTATGCTGCACACCATACCCTTAGAGTTAACTTGCACCGGCTCGCCGTTGATGATGCCGTACAACAACCACGGCAGCGGCAGGCTGGAAAATTACAAAGACATCATAAAGCATTTTAAAATAAATAGCCGTACTTAATATATTGTATGTATTTTGTTTTATTACACAGAAATATTTGGTAAGTGTAATATAAAAGAACCTACGCTGTACTTAAATAATAAGTATGTAGTAGATATAGTTTAGTCAATAAAAGAACGAGATTGATACATAATGTTACGATTTGAATTGTTTTCAATACACTCTGACATATCATTAGAAGTTATACCGTATCCTGTATTTCGTGTTCCGTATTCCGTATTTCGTATTCGGTATATCGTATACCGTACTCCTAAATTCTGTTACTTTTATTTTAAAAACAAAATATAACATCTAGTAGCTATTATAATTAATAATCTCTCCTAAATTTTATTCAGGTCAATTGGATATAACGATTTAAACAACAGAACACACATTTAAATGTTCAATGTTCTTGATAAGGAGCATGTTCAAACAGAGATTGTATCAAATTATTTTTTTAAGTTGGTCACGCGAGGCCGTATCCTGTAATTGGCATTTGGCCCACTATTTGGGCCAAGGTTTTATAAAGATAATATCAAAATGCAAATTTTCACGTCATTTACGGTTCGTTTACGAGCGGGTTACTATAGGTCATACTTGTAAAATATAACCCAACTACTTCTAGAGAATAGTATAACCAAATTCACTGATTCCCTTTCATCGTATCAATTTGTATTCATATTTGCGTGAATGAATGAAAAATTTTACTTTAAATGAAAGCTCATTAAAAATCCATTAAAACTAGTTTGAACTAAAATTATACTTATACTTGTATTTATAGAAAAACTTGATTATAGTAAATTTATCAAACGAGAATACAGTCGAAAGAGAATGTTATCATTGTTAGACACGATCTAGAAATCGTTTTCAACTGAAACTTCGTACACATTAAAATTGCACCTTAAATCTATTTAAATAGAACTGAATTTCCCGGTCACAGAGCATGTTTTATCAGTGCTTGTGACTTTGAACTTTATTGTATAAAAGATAAAGCTTATATAACCAACACTGAATTATTGATCGGAGGATGTATCTGAGCCGTTGCAGTCTAGTGCCTCCAACATAACACTTGTATAGTTCACTAGTACGCGAAAAAGAATATTCTATTGTAGAAGTTTTTTCATCAAGAACAACATACATTTACATACTCATATATAATATAGTTAAAGTTATTTACAGTAATGATAGTTCAGTGTTATTTGGTTTCTGACTAAATCACAGCTATCATTTGTGTTATGTATAATCTACAAATAAAGACCAATTACGTCCATTCAAAACGAATTTAAGCCAATAATACTCTTTACATTTGAACCAATCAGAATCGTTCAAAGCAAAACAAAACACTCTTTTTATTTTATTTTCATTTAAAAACTCGTCTACCCTCGTATCGTGAGCATCGATCGCTGTCTGGCTCGGTGGCTGCTGAATAATTACGGTTTCAGACAATCTGAACTTTATTCTCATTACTATAGGATCCAAAATCACATGTGAACCGGGAATGGTGCAGTGAATTGCATTTGAAATTGAATCCTGAAAGTCTACGTCGCGTAATTAGAGAAATTCTTTGATTTGCTGAATTTGTTTATTCGAACCTTCACAGACGTACCGCGGCTTATAAAAGTAAAGGCTGCACGAGTTTGAAAAGAAAATAACAAGAGCTATAAAAGAAAACGCGGTTTACAAAAACCGTTTTGCCGTTAAAAAACATCACAAAATTTATATTTTTTCATTGATTTTTAAAAACTTCCTTTCAATTTATTTTAGGCAAGCAATTTCTATAATATACTTGAAGTTTATACCATAATAAATATTTGTAAAGTCCATATACATATTTTAATGAATTAGAGAAAATTTCAAGTTCCTTTCTTAAATTGCTAAAAGACATAAACATTTTCAGTCGTCAAACAAAATATTTCCGTAGAAAAACTTATATGTGCAGAAATAATTTATAATTACATGAAAACAGTTATAATAACGCAAAATATGTTTTATTGAAAAGTATTTTTCCCTGTATATTCCTTTATATGACCAATTACAGTTGACCAGTTTGATCTATGAAGTATATACATACTTATATAAGATTAGGATCGTTTCTTTAAGCAATAAACAATAAATGTGATACGTCTAAAACAATCAGTTTATTTTTAAAATACACGAATTATAAACAAAATATGAACAAAACAAAACAAAACAAAAACGTGGTTACTGACCTAAAACGAAGAGAATCTACAATTAAATGTCCATGCTTTCCTTGTGTGTAGTTTGCACTGAATTAACGATACTAAACTACTTATTTAGATTGTCAGATTAGCTGTCATTGTCAGATGTCAAACGATGCTCTCATATAATATATTTGTCAATAGTGTTTTTCAACGTGAAGAGATCTCATCACTTAGGTAAAGATTCCTACATATTCGGTATGTAATTAATTCATTCTAACAACTTTTTTGTAATAAAATTCTTTGTAAATCTGAACGAACGAAAAAAACATTGAAGAGGAAAACTTAGCTTACATGAAATAAAAAAACGTTCAAAAACGAATTTAGATTTTAAAATACCTAACTGTAAAATAAAAATTTTATCTCTAAAGAAAAACGAAAACATTTGTAGTGTTATATTTTTTAGTTAAAATTGTGATATCTTTCATGCAAACGTGGTATCTATTGGCGTATCTTTGTATTTATTTTCTCGTTTATTTCGAGTTTCGACTCGCTTTTTTGTTTTTAATAAAATTTGATATCATTTTATTTGAACTGTCATTTCAATAGCTTTAAATTCAGAAATTTTCACGACAATATAGAAATGATATTGCAAATAATATTACTATTACTATACTATTACTTATGAATAAATAAAATGAAATATTGATTGAAAACTTGATATCAAGATAAATGATAACAGTTAAATTTTAAAGTGAGATTGGAGAAAACAAATTTATGAGTCTTTGTTATTAAAATTTTTGTGATTTTTATAATATATTAAATACTATCATTTACTTGTACGGTGTTAATAACTCATGTACTATGGTAACTGAAAAAAAAATAAACAAAAATATATTATTTTTATAAGTCATTTGTTTTCGTATGACATCCGTATCAAAGACCACAAGTGTTCAAGGTGACCTAGATTTATGAAATTTTCTCCGTTAACATTAATAATGATAATTTCAAAATATATAATAAATATACATTATTTAAGGAGCATATATATTAAAAAGCCGTTCACTCACAACAGTTACATTAATAAATATTTCAACTCCAAACAATTCCATGTTTAAACGCCAAAAACATTTGAGTACAAAAGAACACATAGAAGAGCACTTAATTCTCACTACAATGGTAGTTACAAAAACAAAATACTCAAAATTCTAGCGATGTGCATTCAAAGGGAACACGAACAGTAAATATGAGAGAGATTCCCATATTTAACCAGCAACAACTTTTCGCAATTAAGCTTTAAAGTCAAGAGCAAACTGTGAGATAATTTAGAAAGGAAAATACAATTATTTTGTGCTGTATCTCCGGCGTAGTTTTGGCTCGCTTCCAAACGAGCTCCGAAACTCTGATGTAACTGTACTTCAGTTCCATATTTTTAGTTTTACAAAATCAACATCTTGGAACAACCGGACTTAACGCTGCTTAGCAATGGAGCTTGAAGATGGAACTCTCGAGAGGTCGGCTTTCCAGAGACTATGACGTATGATATGTTGAAATAGTAAGTGATAGCATAGACAAAAAAAATGTTGTCAAATATACTTTTATAGTTTAGATATTGAAATATATTGTATGTTTACAATGCAATGATGGTGATGCGAGCTCGATCGAAATTGAGATTTAAAACTGTACAGATTTTTCTGGTTTTAATAATTTTGTAGTCAATTGTTATTTTCAATATAAGTTTCAAATTTCACTACAGATTTTAATCAACGACCGGATCCATTTCTACAGATTTTCATTTACTGTTCATCGGTTTTAAATTAACAAAAAAATTATAAAATGCTGATACAGGATTTACTTGTAAGATAACTATGCGTTAAAATGTCCCAGGCCTCTACATAGCCCCACCATTTTTTTTTCTGGGTCTCTTACCGCCTCCCTTTAGGCATGTAGTGCCCACGCCAGCTTAAAGAAAGGCTTCCTTAAGATTTCGTAAGCCAACAAACAAGCCAGAAAGTATGTAACAAATATGTTATTAGTTTATATTGTATATCAAACATACCCGACGGTGACATCAAATATATTACTGCCCACAGAGCTCGACACAGCCATGTCACCGAAACCTTTCCTCGCGACTATCACCGACGTTATTAAGTCCGGCACCGAGGTCCCAGCGGCTAGCAGCGTGAGGCCCATCACCTCAGGAGGGACGTACGCCGTCGCCCCCACCAAATTAGCCCACCACACCATGAGGTAGGAAAAAAACGCTATCCAAACAATTGATCCTATAAATGTTATAGGAAACAATTTCTTCCCTGCGAACAAAATTAAACATAGTTTTAATACTGACTTTAGACTAAAAGTAGTCAAAGTCTTTGCAAAAAAAGGACTTGTTTATGTTAAAGGTCTACTTCTCCCTACCTCTCGGTGTCCTTGTGTCCGGGAGAGTGATCCATAGTGGGAAGACAATGGGTGCGACCAACAAGTACGTCACTCGCTTCCTGAAGCCAGACGGCCAGGACATGTCCAGGGGAGTCGTGTCCTCTTCCAGGTCTCCGATCTACATGAACATGTCACACACATTCAGCATTTGCTTATCCTAATGAAATCTAAGATTTAAGCGAGTTTTATTCATGTAAGTGAATCGTGATCACGGTTGCTGAAAAGTAGCCGAAACGTCGGGAGTATGTATGTATGTATGTATGTATGTAGTTTTTTACAAAAATAAAGACAGTAAGTATAATCCGAAAAATATTAGTTTCATTTAAATTTCCTTATCATAAAACTTACAAGCTTCCCATTAACGATTCTTTCAAGGAGGTTCTATTGAATAAGTCATGTTAATGCTTAAAAAATTCACGTCGCGTTTGATAAATGAATACAAATATGTAACCATGTCTAAGTACAGGTTCGATCTAAATATCATGACTAGAATCATGTTATCACTTTATAGTATGATATATTAAATCGTCGTTATTGTTTCAATAGTAATGTATCTGATATTTTAACATATATACCTCTATTTGTACGTCCACAGCTATTAATACCACAATGGCCTTACTGAATAGCCTGGTTGACTTCTACAAATGTAGCGTCATTAGTCTAGCTATAAATCATTTAATACGACGGTTTTTGATTATATTTATTACCGGATTGGTTATTATGATCATTATAACAAATAAAATAGGCATATATCGTGATTGGGGTGTTCTAGAATTGTACAGAAACGTTTCTAATGTTCTTTAAGGACACGAAATTAAATTATTCCCCCTACTATTAGATAAGGGTTGCTTAATATACTGTGTTGTGTACGAGTGTATTGTAATGTACCTCACATTAAAAAACCTTTCCGTTTTTCTGAAATTTACCTTAGCATTTTTTGTTAAATATATAAAATAAGTTGAAATTTAATAATATTTACATTTGTATTCTCTCATTAAATTCAGTGAATATTAAAAACGAAATGCGAGCAAATTCTAGTAGTGTAATAAAAAGCACCCTATTTCTAATTTTAGAACGACTAGCTTTGTGTTGTGTATACTAATCTTCTAATTAAAGAGGCCTTGCATCTCTTTGAGCGTTAGAAAAGCTCTTCCGATTGGAAACAGCATTGCCAAGTGCAGTGGAAAGATAAGACTGCCTAATACACGAATATCCCCACATTTTATATTTTCTGTGTTCGTTCCAATAGTTTTTAGTTTTTGGCAAAACTGTAAGCCAGAACTTATATTTTGGCAGCGTTATTTTTTTTGCTTTACCAACTTCAACGTCACTTTTATAACAGTTTTTTCAACTTTCCACCATCTCATTTCTTGTCGCATTTCGCAGCCAACATTCTATATGGAAAGTTTTATTCGTATAATTTTTGCATGTTTCTTGAATAATTTATTACTATAAATTTAAATAATAACTGTTATAAAGATTCAGGTGAAAATATCAATAGTAAACATAAGTTAAAGAAAAATCGAACAAGCCGAAGTATTTGAATTGTTTTTTTGCAAAGGTGTCCTTTTCGTCCTACATATTTTACAGAACATCGCTTTAAATAACTATTAAATAAAAAGATATATTAAAAATAATATATTTATGATGCTAAAGATATAAAGACAGCAGTATTATTTTAAATAAAAACCATATTATTCAAAAAATGACCCTAACATTACCTCCTCTATAGCATCTAATTGTACGTCCGCTAGTCCTCCGTTGGGAAGGTCAAGGGTCGTCTCCTTGGCTGCTGCTACTGCTGCTGAATGCTTCGCTGCTGCTGCCCCAGCACCGCCGGCAGTCGGCCGCGTCGCTTCGAGCAGCACTTTCAGAGAAGCGATCGCGTGAAGCTGGGTAGCTTTTTCATCCACTTTCCCTGGGAAAGACGGTAATGTTATAATATTTTCTAGCAATACTTAAATTCTGTATATACTCTAGGATTTAAATACACATAAAGAGAATAGACTTTATGGTGCTTACAACAAAATTTATCAATTTTATTTTGATATTCCTTGAATTGTACTCAACAAAATGTTATTAAAATGTAAGTGTAATCGACAATAAACAAAATGCGTTTTGAATATAGAGACAATTTATACGTAGAATATGCGACTGTATAAGCTTTTAGTTTAAATCACATCTCCCAAGTATATTAAGTTTGTGTTGAATCATACTTTGAAGCACGAAAAATGGGTCAACTATTTGTAACAATGATAAACTTCCAGACACACGTTTCAAACGCAGATCACAAAACGATATTATCAGACTATAACTGCTTGGTAAGTTTAAAATGAATTCCGCCGATAGCACCGACCAAACGAGATACTGAAACCAGATATAAAGTTGACGTCTCTTTTGAAGATTATAATTTGAATTTAGGATAAATCTATAAAGATCGTGACCGTACTTAAGCTATTTAAAATAGTTATCTTCAAATTTACTGTGACAAACAGACGCAGATTATTTACAAAATTATATATTATCTTAATAGTGTTTTATCTCGACTCGTGAATAGCATTTATGAGATAGAAAAATGAAATTGAGATAATGTATCTCGAGAGCGTACGTTTATAACTTGGATATAGAAACTTCTTATATTGTTCCATCGGGAATAGAGTGAAGGAGGATTGGGAATGAGGAATAAAAGGTTCGGGCAGTTAGTTCTTCCGGCACTCTCAGTTATCGTAAAGAAAGCGTTTTTAGCTTTACGCTAAATTTGGTGAAGGGTATTTCCGTGTGTGAGCCAGATCATATTCCTGTAATCCATTTATTATAGTACAGCTTTACCATAAAGAAGAGGAAATAGAATATTATTTTATTCCGTGTTTCAAATTTATGACTTAATTTGTGTCATAATATAATATTAGTGAGGAATTTTTACGATATTTTGGTAGTGATGTTAATATTTCTATTATAAAGTACGAAAATTATGTAAATATATTGGGAACTCTGGATTTTATAGACCCATAAAACATTCACGCTGTGAAAACAATGAAGGATAAACAACAAACAAAAATTCACCACCGTTTTTTTTGCTTGTTGGGTTTAAAAAATATATATAATATATATGTTGATATAACACGGAATTTTTGGTTTTTTAGGAAATCTGATAATTTTTTATTTACTTGTAAATACGGTTTAAGGGCTGCAGACTAGTGTAAGAAAGAAAAACTTACGAGATTACGTCTTTAAAAAATGGTAACTTAAAAATAATTCTTTACTATACATTGCAGTATATATATATACCTATATTTCTATAGAATACATATATTTTGTATACCAGAAATGTTTCTAATATTAAAAAGTAAATTCCGTTCTCATTGATCTTTAAATGAACGGAGCTCTCGTCTTTTTGTATGTCAAGTGACTAGTCCATGGCGGGCGAGAACTCTTCACAACTGATATCAGTCTCTAGACTTTCATTGTGACTTCCCTTTATAACACTCCAAACGAATATTCGAGAAATTAAACATACAAAAGAAATATTCAAAATACTTAACACTGAAAAAAAAATCTATATAAAAAAATTCTGTTCTGAATGAACAATATTACAATAAGTTTTTGTTGTTCGATACTTATCTTACAAAATCTCATCGGTTACAATATGTTAATAAGAATCGATAAAGTACGGGGCCAGAAGGTTACCTTCTCGCCCTTACGATCAAGAAATAAGGTCAAACGTTACAGACTTGTATACAATACTACCCACTAACGCAGTTAAATGTAAAGCTATTAACAATTATTATACATATTGATAATATTAAATAACAATACATTTAGTAAATTTAAATAAAATTTTCTTTTATCTCAAAACTAAAAAATAATCATAAAGTTATAATAATCTTTTAAAAAATGTCTAGATATTTGTATAGATAAAAATTATTATTGAAAAGTAAAAAATACATTTATTATAAGTTACGTAAATATCTTTTAGACTAATTTCAAATATATACTTCGTTTTACATTGTATATTAACATGAATATTAAAATATCAGTTCATACTTAAACCACATTTATGTTTTATTTAATTTATACATATATTATGTAATAAGGATACAACAAAAATATATTTAACATTTCTTCGTAGAGTACAATGTTATAGAAAGAGTCCAGAAGATTTTATGATCTACATTGTAATATGTTAAAGTATATACATAAAAAAGGTCATATGCCATTTATAAATATAATTTTTCTTACTAAGTATTTACATATGTGGTTCAGTCATGGTAACTTTAAAATGTTTATATCTTGCTCCACGTGGCTGTAGATGTTGGTTAAACTAAGGCTTTAGCAAAATAAAGTACACAATACTAAGAATTTAGTACTTTAAATTACTAATGCCCGCGTTTACCAGTGCTTGAAGAAATCCCAGGGCTTGAAACGAGCTTGTAGCGCTTGATATATGCTTTGTTTTCTTCAGTATATGTTCAATGTTTGTGACGAAGAAATATAGATACATTAGTTGATGTAAAATTTTAAGAAAATAAGTTTAATTCAAATATACAAGTATTGAATGAAATTATCTAAATATATATAGAAATTACAGTCTATTTCATAAGTTGTTGATAGCTCTAAAATATATTATTATCACAACACAATTATTACGAAATATTATATTTTTCAAATTGAACGTTACATAAACTTTGACATTGCTTGTTATAAATTAATTAACTATAAAAAATATAGAAAAAACAACACATAATTATAACAATATCTAATTTAAATTTCATTAATATTTTTATGTGATATTTCAAACATATTTAGGAGCCTTCAAAAGTTATACAATGTAAATACATGTTACAATTTATCTATAGTGTCACAACGATACTTAAATTACTAATATAATTATGACGCAATGAGATTTTGTAATTTGTATTAAAGAAAAGTTAATTTTGTTGAAGTTTCTTTATAATATCGTTTAAATTTGTACGTAAAAGTCTTAGTAATTTGAACATTTCCTTGTTTATCTTTCTTTTGGCATGTATAGTTTTGTTTCTGAACAAATTATCTTTGTATAATGACAGACAAGATACTTAATCGCGTCTGCAAATGATTTTATTGCAGTAAAGGAACCGAAACGTCGTGATCATGTACATATAAAACATTAAAAAAAATAGTATTCGAAGAACTTAGTTTCATTTAATTTCCATAATATATGTTATACTGTATTGAGTTTGACAAAACGTAATTCTGTTAGTTCACATATTAAATGTTAAATTCATATTATAATATTTCAACCACATCAATGTATGAAAATATATTTCATATTTCATATAGAATAATAGTTCTGATATTACTAAATACCACAAAAGAAGGGTATTAAATTAAATTTAAACATACGATTTTTCATTTATCCGCATAGTATAAAGACGTTGTAACATTGAATTTTTCAATGGTTTTTAAATCAGTGCTAATCTCAAAGTACAATAAAGCTTAGCCATATATGAGTGCTATACAAATAATTCGAGCTGCGAACAAAGAGAGAAGATTGTGGGATTTTATATATGTACATAAAGAGTTACATAAGAAGGGTCTGTATTGTTGATGTGGAGATATAAGACTACCCTCGAAAATTATAATTATATTCTTACGTCCCGTTTGGGTTTCATTACCTAGCTTGACAAATATTTCAATTGAAGGATTGTTACCCAGATACAATTGATAAGGAAAATTATTTCTAACCAAAAAACCTAACATTTCATCAATCAGATTTGACCTGTTTTTGCATAACCAAAAGAATTCTGAACTCACGTTACTGTACCGTTCTTTTACTTTAAGATATTAATGTCGTGACTTCGAGTTGGCACTTTTAAAGTCAGACCTGCCGCATTTGAACTTGGCCCGTGTTGTTGGCAAGTTAAATCTTGGCTTGCAAAGCAGAAATAAACTTTATTAATATATCAGAGAACTGAATACGCATTGGAAGCTTTGATGGCCACTTAAGAATATATATATGAAACAGTTGGAAGTGATGCGGTAAAGAAAAAGTTGGAGTCATCTTCAGTGTTAGTCGTGACCCAAATAAGCACGCCCCACTTACATACACAACTGATAAATAAAAACGGTAGAGTTAAATATTTGGTTTCTAAATGGAAATATTAAGGAGACTACAACAATAGTTTAATTTTAATATATTAATATTTCATTTGCCGCGTTGTTTTAAAATCATTACTGAAATCTGTGCTCTCAATATATCAAAGCGCATTTTGTTTTTAATGTCGATATAATTGGTATATTTACACAATCTATTTAGAAAAAATAAGAAGTATTATTATAACAATTTTAACGTATATATGTACATAATTTATTTATAATCTATTATTATTACTTAAAATTCTTAGGCTGTTCTTAAGATCAATATTATCTATATTTTAGTATTTACATAGCTGTGAGTTTTTTTTCAATCGTGTTACAAAGCTTAAGTATTAAACTTATCGTGTTCTAAAGCAAATTTTGCTTTATTCATAAGCGATAGAATTAAATTAATCGATAATTGTGTATTTATCACAGGCGTGTAATTATAAAACGGTGCTTTAAGCTTTATATTATTATATATTTATTTCATTATGCTTTAATAAATAGCTTTATATTTGACCTTACAGTTACACATCACAAAGAATGATATATTTTTCCAACAAAAAGTACATACATTCTTTGCGATGATACTTAAAAGATAATATACAAAAAATTTACTCAATGCACTCATCATAGAGTACGATGAGTTATAATCAATTGTGAGTGACAGTGAGTAAAAATCTTGTTATAAGTGTAAATAAGTGATAAGCAAAGCTGCGGTGCATACCTAACTCACCGTCGTGCATCGGGTCGATAGTATGTATCATGAGTTGCAGGAGACCATGTCTGAATTTAGCTGCAGGTGGTGGGGCCTTGCTGGGTCCAGGAGTAGCTGTTACTGTGGCTGTGTTCGTGCCCACAGACGTCTCACTCGATGTAGTCGCATTCCCATGCTGCAACAAGAACAGCTTAATAATATTATATATATGAACGTATTAAATTTATGTATAAGATATATCGAGCAATCTAGATTTACATAATTGGCTATTTGTTCACGTCGTGCTTGCAATATATGTATACTAAACATAATATTGTAATTGTTAAACTTAAATTAGTGGTGATTAAAATCCAAGATTTTCGCGAGTTTTATTCATTTAAAGGAAACTAATATTTTTCGGATATACTACGCGACTTTATTTTTGTAAAAACTACATACTTCTTACGTTTCGGCTACTTTTTAGCAACCTTGATCACAGGCAGACGAAATGTATAGATGATATTGTATATTCTTAAAATATTAGCTTCATTAAAATACTTAATGTCTGTTTTTCAATATTGATTTTACTTATTTAGCTTTGATAGTTGTTTTATTCATATTTGTACATTTAATGCAACTCTATTCCGCAGTTCTGCGGCATTATTTGGGTAAACCGCTAAAAGCATTATAACATAATAATAAAGCTATAGTGTATTTTGGGGAGAGATTAAATGACGTCATGTTTTTTTTTTAAAGTTAATTAAAACACAAACGGCAACTGTCCACCGGCCATTGTTTACAGCATCATATTTTATATAAAACCTCATTGTTATGTAACAGTTTTAATTATCTTAAAGACTATCCCTTTGTTTGGGGTCTCTCAACAATGGCGGCGATAAAACAATACAAGGGGCTCTCGAAGCTTATTTGAAAGAAACTTTATTCTTAGAAATATTGTGTATATATTATATATAATACACTAATTTTGAATTTATTTATATAAGTACTAAATCAAAAATACAAACAAACTCTTTAATTTCATTTAGGAAATTTCAAATTAAAATCTTTCCACTTAACGCATATGAAGTATATATGATATGTAGGCACATAATATATTAACATTGCAATGATTAAAATTTTTGTTTGTCTAGCCATCTGTTTGGTCTGACTAATCTCTGTAACGACTAGACCGATTTTGACGGAAATTCTATGAATTAATAGGTGATTAATTAATAGGAGTAACTTAGGTTACTTTTTAACCGAATTCAAATATAAAGAAGTTCAACGTTCGACTAAATATTTGTAACGCTTTAATTCATCAACTAAATTCTATGTTTCAAAACTATTTTTTATTCGATGCCAGGATGTTTATGCTGTTTATGCATGTTTAAGGTTATGTTAATCTTCGAAATTATATGTAAATCTTGGAAAAATCGAAAATAACCTCGTAATTATGATAACGCGTATCTATAAGGAGGTCTAACATGTAGGTAAAGACGCCGGCAACAGCTTGTACATATTATAAACATATAACTCAACATACAATAGTTCATTATGACAGTAGAGATGATTACTGATAAATATCATATATAATTTCAGGCAGACTCTGGCTAAAGCTGGGAAATTGCCAGGAAGAAGAAGACCTAATATAATTTCATAGTGTATAGTGTTGACGAACTTTGTGGTTTATTATAACTATAATTTATAATAATTATGTAATTTGAAACATCTATTTATTCTCAATCAAACCTTATGACATATAGGAGTCATGTATTATAACGCTATTTTCACATTACACGATTTCGCTCGTGCGGGAAATAATTGCCCGATTTTTAATCGTGGTTTTGCTACTTTCACATTGAACGATAAAAATCGTACATTTTTGTCAGTTCATTGGAACATTTGGTCGGGTCTGGATGAAAACTATGGATCGCGAACAAGTTATTGCGTTATGGATACTGTATCGGCGTCCGAAAAGACAAAGGCGCAATCGCCTTCACTGGATTCACCCAATTAATCAGAGACGAGAGGTAGTCGGGATGTTCCACACATTATTTGAAGATCTTAGAAACGATGACCAAAAGTTTTTCAACTACTTTCATATGTCAGTCGCTCCTTTGATGAGTTACATGGGAAACTGAAGACTGGGGACAATTCCCGTACGACTAAAGACCGTCTAGTGTGAAAGCGTGCATTTGGTCTCGTAGGCCAATAGGCTAGAGGACGATACGGTAGCCGTGCGGTTCTAGTGGCACTGGACGGCTGCAACACGATTACAAAACGTGCCCGTGTTCAAATCGTGCAATGTGAAAGGTCTCGTACTCTTCAATAGTCGATCAAGAAAAATTGCCCGGGCGATTTTTTCCCGCACGAGCGAAATCGTGTAATGTGAAAATAGCGTAATTTTATCTTAAAACGGTTCGGTCGTATTAAATTGTTTTTGAAAAAATACTGAAAATATTAATGTTCAAACAAATTAGAAAAATTAATGCTGTAATTTAACGTTTATTGCAGTATAATTATAATGTCTTCTATCCTATGTATTATTTAACATTTGTTAATGTAACGATGTTTAAGACGATAGCCACAATTTTTATTTTGCTACATTTGAAAAATCTAAATAACGAACCTGAGGAAATATAGAAACTGAATTGAAGACAGTTACAAATTTTGATAAGTAGTAATTTTCATTGTAATTTTCATTTGTAAAAGAACCAACTAATAGTTTATATACGAGTGTTAATATAATATATATATTTTTGCTCACAATACTCGAAATATATTCATCATTTAAATGACAATAATATTATTCGAATATACTGCTGGACTTTATGTTTGTAAAAAACTACATACTTCGCTAGCTGAAAAGTAGCTGAAAAGTCGGGAGTATGTAGCTTTTCACAATATTAAACCACATAGTATATACGAATAATATTAGTTTCATTTAAATGAATAAAACTAGGGAAAGTCTTAGATCTTATTATATATTCATCATATTTTGTTTTTATACTAATGAGATCTGAGATTTTCGCGAGTCATTTAAATTAAACTAATATTTTACATCTGTCCGTGATCACGGTTGCTGTAAAGTAATCGAAACATCGGGAGTATGTAGTTTTTATCAAAAGTCAGTCGCGTAGTATATCCGAAAAATATTAGTTTCATTGTTTTTATACTGTAATATAATATAATCTGTTAAATAAATAGATCTGCATTAATTTAAAGCGGTTTCATTTCGTTGTTTTGTGTGTATGAATGCGTCATGTTTTTTATGACCGCTAGGGAGCACCATGCGTGTAGATTATGATTAAATAAACACATCTACCGTCTCTTATCATCTCATGTGTATCTCTTATATCTCCATCTCTTTTATATATTTCATGTATCGCTTAAAATTTATTTATATTTCATTTTAATATTATTATATACAGTATTAGTAGTGATTAAAACGCGAGTTATTTGTAGCTATACTTAAGCAATTTTACAAAAGGAATACATACATGTTTAAAGATTTTTTTTTCACCTCTATGTATTTAATATATCAAGCTGAATTTTTTTATACATATTCTGTTACTCTCAGAAATACACGGAATGCCTTTTAAACTAAATAAAAATATGTATATTTCTCGACAACTCGGAACATATCTTTTCAATTCCGAAGACATATATTTTTTAATTCAACCCATTATAGAATATAGTCAAGCTTTTAAGTTCTTTTACATAAATAGAAAATTCCAAAAATCGGTTCAAAGATAATAATTTTGATAAATGACAACACTGAACAAATAGTTGATTAATTATTATTTGAACGTTTTCAAGTAAGGCTTGTAAATCGGTAACTTATATGTACATCCAATAGTGACGTCACATTATACACACACACATAAATATATGTGTGTGTGTGTATATATATCACTCATTTCGAAACATTAACTATGTCAGAGCAAATACAAGTAAACTATTAAACCGCTCATCTCAAACTAAATGTAATCTAACGTACATCAAGTCAATAAACCAAGCGTTTGGGTCTTAGCTCGTTAATCACATATATATTGAACAGACATACAAGATTATAAACTGATATTCAGGTTAGGACGTAACAAGGAGGTTGATATACTAATTTAATATTTACCAGTTTTGTCACCAAAACGTATTTTTTGTTTAGTATTTTATGTTAAAAAATGTCTGGTTATATGTAATTATAGAATAATAAGTTTGTTAAGTGTATAAATTATAGTAATGCATAAGTAAGATTTAACTCAATCTAAAACATATTGTAGTAAAAATAGAAATATAAGTGACAAGTTTCATTCTAATTAAATAAATATATTTATATGGTCGCCATTATTTATATAATAGTTAAATTAATTTTGCCCAAGTGGAAAATAAACACTTGACAAACAATAATTGCTTTTAGCGTTTTCGGTACACAAAGAAGGCTTAATGGATGATGATTTTGGCGAACCTTCACTTAGTACCGAATAATAAATGGTTAAATATTGTTTGCTTGTATGTTTGAGGCTCGCATTAACGCTGAAACCGCGTTTAGTGACACACAAAAACCTTTTAACACGCTCAGCACAAGTAAACGAATAATCTGAAGGATACTACGTCTAACTGAGCCATAAATGTTATGTTATACAGGGATTTTATAACGAAACATAATATTTTGACAATTTTTAGGAAAAAATCAAAGACTTCAAGGATATCTGGCTATCAGCAGTTTGATTAAAGTTTATTTTTCCAAAAAAGTAAATTATGTATTGTATATATAAAATGCTATTAATTTATGTTTTATTCTATGTCAGTGACCGAATTTTGAAAGTAATTTTGCTTATAAATCTCAAATTTACTTGTATGTCTGAGTTTTCTGTTTCTATTTTTTTAATCTCGTATGTAAAAATTTAATAAGTTGCTATATATTTACAAAATGTATATTGTGTTTTTAAATTGTAATGAAAAATTATAACATTTAAAACACTTCTGAGTTTTATCATAAATGTACATATTTTCAATAATTTTTGATATTTATTAATTATTCAATTGCTCCCTAAGGAATTATACACATGCTAACCGCCATCTTGGATGTTCCACCATATTGGATAAATCAATTTTTAGAAAACAAACATTGGGAGTAAAATAAAAGTCTTTTAAAATTGCGGTTTTTACATGGCGTTTTATGATTTAAACCGAATT